CTCCCAATTCTTCTGGTAGGGTACGACACTTATAATTTTCGAGTCGAAACTGTCGCCCAATTTAAAATAACATAACACTTATAATATTGGAGGTCCTGGGTTTGAAATAAAATCATTCATAAAATCATTTTTTTAGGGTTCCGTACCTCAAAAGGTAAAAAAAGGAACCCTTATAAGATCACTCTGTCTGTCTGTCCGTCCGTGTGTCAACACCGATTTTCTCAGGAACGGGTGGACCTGTTGCTGCAAGTTGAAATTTATACCAGATACTGAAGTCTATAGTCCCTATTAGATGTATAAAAATCAAGGTGCTTAGTCAACACGATAAAAAGATATTGGCAAATTTAGATTTTCGCGAAAACTTGAAAGTACCAATATTTACCTTAATCTTCAAGTTTTTTTTATTTTTCGGAATTTTCCCTTTACTTGTGCTGTAAGACCCTGCTTTTAAACAAAATTGACAATTCTAGGTGAACCGGAAGTACCCTAGTAGGTTTTGGGTCGAAAACCTATATGGTAGTTCCCGTTGACCTAGAATCACGAAATTTGGCAAAAAGCAAGGTCTTACAGCACAAATAAAGGAAAAATTCTAAAAAAAAAATAGTTGAATATTAAAGTTAAACAAATTTCCTACTTTTTACGGAATCCTCGCTTGGCAAGTCCGACTCGCACTTGTCCGGATTTTTTTGATGCGAAATTTCTGTAGAATCGTTGTGATTGGAAATTCTATGAAACGAAAATTCGACACTAAAAAGAGACAAACACATAAATATATAGAATTAAGCCGGTGTGAGAATGAGATAGAATGCATTATGTAGGGGTGAAAAATAATAAAAAAAAATATTTTTATTTTATTATTTTTCATTTCCTGTGTAATGTATTATATCGTATTCTCTCGCCAGCTACATTAAATATATGTTAAATAAAATTTAAAATAACTTTAAAGCTTGGTAAAAAATTATTAAAAAAAACGTCACAGTTATCTTCTCAACCTGATACTCTATATTCATCTCATTCTCTCGTAAGTTACTTTTCTGAAGTTTCACTTCTATCGTGTCGTATGTGAATTGCATACAGACATTTTTTTTTATTTTTCCTTTTATTTTTTCAAGATCTATAAGGATTAAACGTCAAATTACGGCGCCATGGAAATTAAAATATCTCCACATTTTTTTTTATAAATTAAAATAAGCCATTTACAACATAACATCGGAAATAGTACCTAAATGAATTATTTTTGGAGACTTTTATTTTACTAGTATAGCATTTTATTTAAATGTTAATCTAACCTAAAACCAACTAGACAACAGATAAAACAAAGTCAACGCAGATCGTATCTAATTTTACATGTCGTTTTTTTATTATTACCTACTACCTAGTACTATTTTCTTGTATTAAGTAACTCTTCCAAGAAGGCGAAAAAAGTGATTAGTTTAAACGAACTTCATTTATTTTTATTTTAATACACAATGGTGCCCAGCTTTATTGGCATGTGCTAAAGAACAATAGAATGATTTCTTAACGGCTACTATTTCCATCTTAAGTAAAACTTCACCTACTTAAATTCTATTCTTTTTTTTTATGTTGTGACATTAACACACAGCGCCATCTAGTTCCAAGGTAAGCTACGAGGCTTGTGTTATGGATACCAGATAGTTGATACACTACACATATTATATAACTTTAAATACATACATATTATAAATACATATATATTATAAATACATATATATATATATATATATATATATATATATATATATATATATATATATATATATATATTGGGTCACTACCAACTGAGCCAAACATGTCGTCGATTCTAATTTCTCTTTGTGCCGTTATAACTAAAATTTCCTATATAGAGTAATTAAATAAATTCCAAAGTAAATGTTTTAGAACTGTAATGCTTACTACAACTTCTCCACGAACATACAATACATAAAGGGTATTAATTACGTTTAGGTTAGGTTACATTTTTCGATATTTTTTGTCAAATGGTATGCAATACATATTTTAAAAGTATAAATAATATTCAATATGTTAGTTATATTTTTAGGTGGGATAGCCGATTGTTCGTCCGGTGAACGGTGCCGGTTACATTCCATTTTGCCGCGTTCCATTACGCAGCCTCGTGATTCCGAGAAAGAGTGATGTCCCGCTCGCACTAAGCATTCCACTTTATTGCTTGTGTTTTGGAATCCTGGTTATTGTTTGCGCTCAAGCTCATTTCAATACAACCAAGGAAACACTGCTTAAACTTGGAAATATCCGGTCAAAAGTTCACCATGTTCATTTTTCTGTAACAAACGTAGAAGATATCGTAATACTTTAAGCATAATATGATTGAAATACATTCCCAGTATATCACGTATGACGGAATTGATAATGATTAGTCGTCACTCTTCATAATAATACACCACAGGCCTCTCTTGATGTTACCGCAGAATGCAAAACGCTTTGACAAAAAGTATGAAACAATAAATGTGCCCCTTTTAAGCCCTAAATCCTAACCAAATCGATAACGTTTTGAAGCTTGATACAGGCAGGTACTTAAATAACGACTAAATAGAAATTCTTAACGCCGAACTCGTCCCGACTTCTTTAAATACATTATACATACTCGTATTATTCTTATTACTACAGAGTTCATTGTACTTATATACAAGTTTTTTTTTAAATAAATTTTCATATTTTCTATTTATTAAGTCCATCAGAAACTCGCCGTTCGTTTGAAAAGGCTTAATGTAGCACCCTTACACTTAGCGGTTTGAAGGAAGTCGGCTTGTGATTAATGACTCGCGGTTATAGCGCACTTCCTGCGCCTGCGCGCCCTCTCGCGATTGAATTAGCAAAAAAACACTGCGAACTTGACCGACACGACTCATATTGTCACATTGACGACTCCACGTGGCCATTGACTTTTGGAATATGAAATTAAGTAGCATGAATAGTTATTCTAATCTTACAATTATTGAGCACATTTTGATTTTAGGTTAATTTGAATGTTTAGTCCAATAACCGAAACTTATGCTTTAGTTTTTTTTTAAATATCAATTTTTATTAGCCGTTGAACGTACGAACTTATATTCTAATATTTCAATATAAAAATGACTAATTAATTTGGTTCTTTATTTATCTCTTTTAGGGGTCCGTGCCTACTTTAAAAAGAAAACAGAAACAAGAACTCTTGTGGTCCGTTTGTCTCTCAAAAGTGAAGGAAGGTGAGGAGATATCAAGTTGATACGAGTTAAAGTTAAAGCTGTGAAAAAGCTTCTAAGTCAACTAAGTCGACCTTGTCGACTAACAAAATACCTATTTTTTATAATATGAAACGAAACCGTTGTTATTTAGAACAAATAAAATAAAGCAGCATTACAATCTAATATAAAAAAGTTTAGAAAATACTTACAAATTAATAACAATTTTGTCACCACATAATTATGTATGTATTTAGATTTGTAAAAATGTAGCGCAGTCGCGACTCGCTGGCCGATGCAGTTATCAGCTGGCGACACAGCTGATCGCCGCGTTTGTGTAACGAAATGTTGTCAAGATAATCAACACAGATATTGTAACTATTATAATTTTATCGATGCATTTCTACTAAAATTATCATTTTTATCTATTTCATATTATACTTAATCAGTATACGTATTTAATTCAATAAAATCATTTTTTTATTTAACTATTTTGAAGTATGGAACATAATGTCCTCTCATTTGAAGGAGTACAAAGCTAAATATTATATTCTCATAATTTTTAAAATTCATGCAAATTGACAAAATCGAGTACAAATAAGATCTTTTTGATGATTAGGTAAGAGTACGGGCTTTTAAATATTTACTTTCTGTTATTTTGTAGAATATTACGTAAAAGTATCCTTATAATAATATACATAGGTTAACTTTTTTAAAACGCTTGAAAACCGACAAAGTGTTGAAATCATAAGTCCAAAAAGAAATGCTGGGAACATTTGAATTTATGTAAATAGAATGCACACATTATCAATAAACATTAGATATTATGTAAGTAAATTCCCATCGAACTGAAATGATTAAATACTACACACTAGCTTTTGACTACCTATTTAATATGTAGTTGCTTATAGTTAACTAGCATTGCCCGCGGCTCCGCCCGCGTTCAGATGACCGAAAACCAAATTCTTAGGTTTTACATATTAGTATACTCTAACATTGCAGTTTTTGTATTTTTTCTCAGAAATGAGATATATTTCCGCGTAAAAAGTATTCTATACGTTGACCCGGATAACCAGTTATCATAATACCAAATTTCATCAAAATCCCTCCAGTGGTTCTTCCGTGATGCGGTAACAGACAGATAGACAGACAAAAATTCTAAAACTAGATTCGGCTTCTGTATCGATAATAATGTCTATTAACTGCATGTGAAAAGTAATTAATGAACCGCATTTAAAATAGTATTTTCACACAGCATATTAACAGAGTTTATGTCGGAAATAATGTGGAAAAAGTAGGTTCTTCTACTTAATAAAAACAAGTGTTATACTATAACATACTTAGTAAATGATGTGCAAAAATCAAAGGCAAGCAGCAATTTAAATGTCTGTACATCACATTTCTTCTATCTTGGGAATTGTTTACCTGGATTAGGTCAACTACCTACCAACTAATAAAGGTATAGAAAAATCTTAATAAGGCACATATTAATTAGTAAGTACATGTGTTATACCTACTTGTTTTTTCTACAAGTTCAACCATCTTATGTGCACTTACCATATTTACTTACTTCTCTATTTACTTTGATATGGGTATTTATAGTTATATTCTAGAATTTCATGCTATGTAGTAGTTTTGATTATTTAATGAGATCAGTTAACATATATTTTAATATTTCGACCATTGTACATATAAGTACGTTGGAGTATGATAAGAACTGTTGAAATATACAAATAATATATTGGCATATTTATGAGGTACACATCAGTTCTGTATTTTCATGTAATACTTAGACGTGAAATGCGGGTGCGTATGGTATGTAAGTAATTATTATTATTATTGTTCATATTATCCGCTCAGAGCATTTTCTTTATACTTTATAGGTGTTTGGAAAGGATAAGTAACCAGTTCACAATTAAAGTACCTATCGTCAGATAGGTATTGTGGTCGTATGGTCACTTATAATCGGTCCGTGGAATCCATCTCATTTTGTAAATACTATAGAACGAGAGGCCAGAGTCAGAAAAGAGTGCGAGCGAGAAAGAAAACGTGTTATGTATTATTATTCGAACGTCGAATCGGGAGAAACCTGCGTGCGGGCCTCACAGGCGGCCGCCTCGCCCCGCGCCCCGCGCCCCGCCGATCATATGTTCGACGGGCGACCGGCGCGGTCGCCGCTCACTGTGACTCAGGCTCTCGCCGTCGCAACATTGTTCTGCTCCGTCCCGGTGTGCCGATCAGCTGTCCATAAGTCGCTACTCGCTACACACACAGTGGGCAGTGGCCGCAAGCAGCGAACAGCGAGCCAGCCAGATAAGCCGCGGTGCGGTGTGATGGAGCTGCTGTGTGCGGAGCGTGTGAGCCCGGGCGGTCGGGAGCCCGCCGCGTTGCCAGCCGCGCCCGCCGCCGCCTGCGACCCGGTGCTGCTGCGCCGCCGGGTGCTCGACAACCTGCTGCGCACCGAGGAGCGCTACGCCATCACCGCCAACTACTTCGGCACCGTGCAGACGGAGATCACGCCGCACATGCGTCGGGTCGTCGCGGAGTGGATGCTAGAGGTGAGCACCCACCCGCGCCCGCACGACCGACCGTTCGCCATCTTGTTACCACTGAGCCACGTGTAGCTCCCCCAGCAGACCCCTTTGCGACTGTGGTTCTCGTATGCTTAAGCCACCGTCGCATAATGTCTTTAAATGTATCGTTACAGTAATTAAATCAGTTATCTCTGCCTTCTATCCACAACAGTGTCACATACTGATCTTTGTTTACACGATCAGCTGATAATGTTTTCATTATCTAAGTATCAAATTCTTATTGGATTACTATTAGAATACTAAAATAAGTGGTATCGTGTCAAATAATTTATATAGTTCAAAATATTTGGTTAAATAAATTTAATTAGAGGTAAGTAATTTACTTTTTTTAGCCACAAAGTAATTTTAATTTGATATAATACATATATGTCTTAAATAGTAAAATAATCATTATGCTTCAACTAATAAAAAGTAGTATTACATAGTAACATAGCGTTGGTTCAGTGCGGCACCAGCGGTGTGCCGGCGGTGCGCGAGGGGCCCCCGGACGAAACGCGCAGGCGGTCGGCGACCGATGAGAGTCGCTCGTTCTATTTGAATAATCAGCTGATTTTGACACGCACACAGCTGACGCCGGTCGCGCATTATCTTTTACTAATATATTGTCGGATACTATATAAACATTATTTATTGTATATACAATAATACATAATATACATAGAAAGATTAGCTTATTTGTTTTATATATATTTAATATTACATATTTTATTTATATACTCGGTTCCGCGCGTTGGTTAAGAAGACAATTTTTACGAACTACATTATTAGTAGGAATTTCAAAATGAACACATTGTAGTTTGTAGTCAATCAGCTGTAAAATCTAGTTCGGCCACGTGGGCTCAGGCGGTGAGCGCGACGGTTGCGCTGACGTCATGCAACGATGGCGGCGCATCGCGCATGTGCCTCCTACTTTACAGAGTTTACCGACACCTCGTGGTTACGTATGGTCTAAACCAGTTGCATACCTACCAAATTTCAGCACAAGCAGATCGAAACAACTCCCTGATGACTGAGGTCACTGACATTGTAATGTAATTACAAATATCGAAATTCGAGTTCTATCTTAAAGTAAAATCGATATTTCTAATCAACCATGTGCATTGCTGATTTAAACCATTACCTCTTGAAACTTTGTTATCTTCCTTATGCAATCTAAAATGCATAATACGCTGTAATAAATAAGCTATATTTAATTTACAAATGCATCTAATTTAACTTTGTGTTCCTGTTGAATTAATTGGATTTTATATCCAAGAAACAATCAAGATACGCCATTGTAGTGTTATCATTATCGCTTGATACAAGAATTTTAAGCATTACAAGATTAGATTCATTCCACCAGTTACAAACTGTAGTTCGTGAGTGAACAGAGCGTTGCATGTGCACTAACGCTAAGTAGGAAGCTCGTAACAGAACAATGGCCTGTTTTGCTGAGACATAAGTTAATCAGCTGACAGGTCCATGAGCGTGGGACACTCAGCTGAGCCAGCCATGGGATGTGCATATTTTCTCGAGGCTATTATAGAATCAGAATCGGTGCACTCGGATTACACCGTGCGAAACTATGTGACGACAAATAACGTCTCTCATGACATTCTACATTTACACAACTAGCTCAGTGCAGTATCATCTGCTTTCACTTTTTCCAGTACTTCTTAATAGTTTAGGGGATTTATTAGTACTATACATAACTTACATTTCATAATATAACCCACATAACACATAAAAAAACTTGCGATATATTGCGAAGAAGGCAATATGTAGAAACGGAAACCTATTTAGCGAACAACGTTTAGTAAATGCTTCTGATAAGAAACTAGTTGAAAAGTAATGCACTGTGTATTTATCGCAATACAGTGTATTACGATTCTGTAAAATATATAGGTTATCAGGAATTCCGGACGATAAACAGTGCACTAGTGCGAGCCGTGGTGTAAGTTTTCATTTCCATTAACACTTCACAATATAAAACAAGATATTCTTTTTCAGGTGTGTGAAGACCAGAGTTGTCAAGAAGAAGTGTTCCCTTTGGCTGTATCGTACTTGGACAGATTTTTGAGTACGTGTACAGTTGGCAAAAGCCAGCTGCAATTGCTTGGGACCGCCTGTCTACTTCTTGCCTCTAAGCTACGGGAACCAAGCTCTCGCGGTTTGCCGGCTGAGTTACTCGTCTTCTACACAGCTAACAGCATCACACTGACTGATCTTTGCGTAAGTTTTTACAATTTATTTACAACTATTTGCGTTCTATCTTTTATTCGATGTATCACAATATGCTTTGGATGCACGTAAAAAGATTATAATTTAATCAACCAAAAAATTATCTGGGATGTAATATTTAGTTTTAAATATACCTACTAATAATATTTAAAACATTATGTTGAGAATGACGAAGTATTGGATTATAATAGTTGTACCACTATACGTAGGTACATATTGTGTAAATTATTTCGCTAAGGTTTTTATCGGTGTTTTTAAACCTTGAACGCTTCACAGACGGTTAGATTTCCACTATACCTTAAATGGATTTCCCATCATTACCTTTACTCAAGTAGGGATGCAAGAGCGGTACTTTATTTAATTAGCTTTTTTGAACGGAAGCCGTTGTTATTAATAATAATACAGCCAAGACGATAGATTCTTGCATATTTGTAGACGTGGTGCATGCTCATGAGCAGATCAAGGCATCGCGCTCATGAAGCTGCCAGACGCTTTCGTGTCGTTCACTCGGCTGATTTCTAACCAACTCGCCTCTCAACGAGCGTGAGAGATCGGAATTCCAGATTTATGACGGTACAATATTTAATGGGATGAAATGAATAATTTTATTCAATTCTACTAGTAACGGTCTTAGGAAGCGGATTAGTACCGTGGGAATTTATTGAAACAATGTCCTTAGTATTAACCACCATCTGTAAATATTCTTTAAGCGACCCACGTTACTCTGAAAATTTATAAGTAGTTACTATCTAAAAATATTTTTGTGTCACATCTGAGTCACAAGAAGTAAAAGATATTAATAGATCGTATTTAAATCACATATACATATGTGCTTACATTTTTACGTAAAATGTATAGTCATTCTATATACATTTTAAGTCAAGTTAAAAAGTTATGGCAAATTGTTTAATTAATTACTTGATATAATAGATAATAAATAACTTAGTATGATATATATAATCTACAAAGGTAAAGGGTTAGAGCTTACGTGTATGAGAATGTAGCCTAGCCTCGTTAATGTTTCCTAATTCAGAAGGGCGTTGGCATTCGCGTAGTTTCGTAATAACACATGGTTATATCAGTATGCTGGCATGAATTGGCGATATGTAGCCGTATCAGTCATTATCCGGTCAAAATAAGTTTATATGTACTTACAGAGTTTAAAATCAGCAAATAATTAATTATAAAAATAATATGTGAAATCTTCTTCTTTAGTCGCTTTATACGGAAATAAATATAAATAACTCAAATAATAAGATATCTAAGAAAAGACATTATTTATATTATATTATGATTCCCATGTAATATGTTACGACAGTGTGTGATGTCTGTTGCATTTCGGGCGCGACGCTGCCACCCAGCGGGGCCCCAAGCGCCACTGTCGCTCAGTAGATAATAAGTGCACCGCACATCTTTGCGCGTCACACAATATACTCGACCTGCTTGTTTTACGAAATGCATTTAGCAGCACTTGCCTTATGTTTATTTTTTTGTGCAATAAAAATCATACAAAGTATGACTTTCTAGATCGACTCTTGTTAGTAAAATACAAAAAGGTAGAGGTTTAAAGCACCACGGCTTATTATGTAAAGAGGTACGGTAATGTTTTATTTCATTGTTTTGAAGTGTTGAAAAGTTTAGAACAAGTTCGTTGTGGTCGGTTAGGAATGCGGCAAGGAGCACTCTGAGAGGAGGGCTGCCCTGCGGACAGTGTCCCCTAACGAGCCGCCAGCCTTCTTGGAAACACCGCCGAACGAGAAGCGCGTTTCAATCAGACCAATTACAGGCGAAGCACGCTGCTTATTTTTTCTCACGCCCGCGGCCGCCACTAACCTTGTCCGTTGTCACAGTACCAGTGCGAACTTATATTTTACTCCACATTTTATAGCCATTGAACCAAATTTTGATCTAAATATTTCGACGTATTAATTATCCTTTGTTATCAACTTTAACAATAAATCGATTTATCTATTCATGATGTTGCCCAAAATTTACACTAATTTTAAATAATAATTATACTTTATCCGTATATAATTGCTTTTTACTAAATAAACTTGCCTTTGCCATTTTAAAATATAATTTTCAATCATACTAAATTATATTAGTTATATCTAATGGTATATACTTTATATTATCTTTATTTTTCGTGGTATTTAAATAATTTAGACTACAGTCGATAAAAAGTTTATTAAAAACTAATTAACAGCCGTTAACATTGTTATATTAATAAAATTTTAACAAATAATTATGTTTTTTGTCTTCGTAGCGACGCCGTAGCACCTCTACGAAACACCGTAGACAGGTGTATTAGAGTATTATATTGTGAAATCGAATATAATTATTAATTGATTCTATTTTTTCTGGTTAGCTCTTGTGTACTGAATGTTTTTTAAATTTAGTAATTTAGCCTGTCGTAACGGCGCCGTCACACTCGGTGCATATTAGATTATACTCATCTTATAGGAGTTCATCCAAGCGCGTCGAACGCTGCCTACAACCGTAGCCCCCTATATAACAAACTTATGTAAATGGTGTCAATTAAAATATATTCATGATTTCGTTAGAATGTTCAATGAGCATATTAGTTAGGTTTATTATTTCTATCAAGAGGCCCAGAACAAAGTAGAAATGAGCAAAAAGAGCAGGCACGCTCTGGCATCTGCGCCAGCTTTAATACAGAGTTCCCGCGCTCTCTGCCCGACCATAAAACCTGTACATTCTCACATCCACAGTGCGTTTATTATAATTGAAGCATAAATTTATGAGCCGTCGTACGGCTTTGTCAAAAGAAAATTCAATATCCCGTCTCAAGTGTCTTCATTTAATAAGAAATTACTTTATATATAACCGCTTATAATCTATCCCCAAATTTATGAAAGCAGGTTAATCCATACAAAAAAAGTAATTAGAATGCGTGTTTAAGATGTCAAAATAATTTTTAAAACCCGTGAGGGCGAAATTAAAATATATTTATTATAAACCTTACACTGAGCTAGTAAATATTCCTGAAAAGAAATACGCTTATAACATGTTTATTTCAGTACTAGCATTGCCCGCGGCTCCGCCCGCGTTCAGATGACCAAAAACTAAATTCTTAGGTGTTACATATTAGTATACTCTTACATTGCAGTTTTTGTATTTTTCCTCAGAAATAAGATATTTTCCCGCGGTAAAAAGTATCCTAGGATCGCGCGCTACATCGCCCGGTTTATATAGCTTGAGCAGGCGGTCGAGCGATGCGGGGCAGAGGGGATGGACTCGCCGTAGGCATCTCAATGCTCGCCAAGCATTAAAAATGTTTCGCTACTAATTACTTCTAACAACGATATCTCAAAAACTATTCATCTGATTGATTTAGTGTAAAGAGCAATTTTAATCTGCATTAAATGACTAAGCTAACTAAAATATTCATTTGGATAAGGATTAATACCGAACTAAAGAAAATAACTTTGAAAATAACGTAATGTTTTTAATTAAAAATGTTAACATAAAAGTGGTTATTGTAAGTCAACCGTAAGAGATAGAGATATGCTATCGCGGACTTTTTTGTAGCATTTTTATAGATTTTGAATTCTCTAGTACATTACTTAACTGTATCTTTGCTAGTTTACGCGGCGTTCGCGTGGAAAGTTCCCATTTGGCGAGATTTTTTGCGACCTCTTCAACATTTGTCGCCGTATTTCAGCTAATTTACATAAAAGCATAATAAATTATATACCTAAACCTTCCTCAAGAATTACTCTTTCTATTGTTGAAAACCGTATAAAAATCCGTTCAGTAGTTTTCGAGTTTATCGCGTACAGACAGACAGGAGGACAGACAGGAGGACAGAAAGACGCGGCCGGGGGACTTATTTTTATAATAAGTATAGATAGATAGATTTGCACAAAGCAAATTAGACGTCCCTTATAGAGTCGTGTAAAATTTATTAGAAACATCTAGAAAGTTCGATTTAGAAGTCACGTTAAATTTAATTCAAAATAGGACTTTGAAAGTTAAATTTTAAAATATTTTTGGTTTGTATATTTCATTATCATTGTACTTTCTTTGTATTATTTCCCACGAGTACGGTCGCCAGAGTATTGAGAAGAGTTGAGGGGAAGGGATGACGGGAACCAGTCGCATTCCTTACGAGAAGTGACCTCGTCTACGCTGCTGCTTGCCAAAGACACTGTCGACCACAGCCATATCATATCACTATAATCACCATTGTAATCTTACTAACCATGTTGTAGCTAGGATAAAGGCAAAATAAATTATTGATATTCTGTATCGAAATATCTATTGAAATTCATTTTAAGTATTTTCTGTTAAAGATATAAAAAATGAGTATTCAACGTTGACAAACTTCGTAGAACTTTAAATTGGCCATAAAAACGACTTTATCTTTTATCGCTATAATTGAAGATATTGCTATTAAAACTCGACAGTAATAAAATTTAAAATGGTATTCGTTGAATAAAACCCGCTCTATGCGGGCGCTTGCTATATATTTATTAAAAAAATGAAATTTTGTGGTCAACAAAGACATGTTATGGTATCTTATTCTTGTGTGTGGAAGTGATGGAACTATTTAGTTTATATTATTATATTATACAAGCATTGCCCGCGGCTCCGCCCGCGTTCATATGACAAAAAACCAAATTCTTTGGTTTTACATAGTAGTATACTCTTACATTGCAGTTTTTGTATTTTTATCTCAGAAATGAGACATTTCCCGCGGTAAAAAGTATCCTTTATGTTGACCCGGATAACCAGCTATCAACATACCAAATTTCATCAAAATCCCTACAGCGGTTTTTCTGTGATGCGGTAACAGACAGACAAACCATAATTCTAAAAACTGTAGATTCGGACTCTGATCGATAATAATGTCTATTTCAATTAGATTTTCCAAAAAATATTTAATGTGCAGCTTCGACTTAGTCACAATTTTATTATATGTATAGATTATATATACATATTTACTACACACATATGTTCAACAATTAACTGTCACGTTAGCGAAGTGTTAAACTGCATTAGCTTACTAATTCAGCGACGACATCACTTTACAGGAATTCACCGGCATACATGTTACGTAATACTTGCCATACTATTATTCATATCACGTTGTACGGGTCCAAGTTACTTTTAGTGTTCAATTCTCTTAGCTAGTCTTCCGACTTCTGCACATATAATTATTATTATTCCACGCATACTGTTTAGACAAGTATTCAATCCTTTTTAACATCCCACTGGATCCCACTGGACACATGCCTACCGTCAATACGAGGGGGATCAGGCCATAGTCCACCACGCTGGCCAAATGCGGGTTGGCGGACTACACATGTCTTTCGAAAACTTACTAAGTTCTCTCAGACATGCAGGTTTCCTTACGATGTTTTCCCTCACCGTAAGGCAAGTGGCATCTTGGAAATGATTCGCACATGTAAATATTAGAGGTGTGAGACCCGGGATTTGAACCCGTTTCACTTGGTTTGCCAAGCGAGAGCGCTATCAATAGGGTACCACTGTCTATTGTTCAGACATATCAATAGGAAAACTGAAGATTAGTCAATCATATAAGCAAATGTTATTTTAATTAACGAAAATAAAAAGTTTAAACTGAAATTATTATATTGTTTTTTATAAAATGTAATTAATTATATATCGTTATGGCCTCGCGACACCGCACCTATTGTTTGATTCTAAGGCGTCTCAGTCACACTGTTCGATGAAATTGGATAAAGCATGGGAACCGAGTGTGGAATTCAGAATGTGTCGCAGCGAGGGCTGTTTGCATAGCTCGCTTTATTGGCTGTAACGCGGCTCGATAACTACTGCCGCCGCGCCCTCGCCGCTTTGCCTGCTTCTCTAATGAACACCGTCCATAAATTTACCATACTGCATTCCGCACGTCTCGAGTTTTCTACAAGTTGGTCGCTTCCGCGAATAACTAAAAACCTTTGCATCTTGTGTGGTTTATGAAAACACCATTAACCAAAAGCCTCTCTCCATGATTGGTTCCCGACCATCGCATGACAAATGTCTTGGCGCCACCGAGCACAGATTAAATATAACTTTAATATAGCACATCTTCCTTTTAAAAACAAATAAAGTCTTATGATACTTATCGTTTATAAATCAAATATAGCACACATCTATCACGTAATTCATGTAATAAAACTATTTTACTTTATCAGTCTCAAACGAAAAGTTCTAGATCGTCTACATATCAATTTCCGTCATGGCAACAGCGTCTGCGGTGAATACTTTATGAGCGTATTGTTTCTGAAGCTTTTCAATGTTCCCGAGTCGAAAAAGACACGGAATCTTTTCAATTCGCGGTCGACCCGCATACTGCTCCGTGGTTAATCGCTCTCACCCACCTGCTCTTTTTATCTTTCGAATCTATTCATTTTATTCAACATTTCTATCTATTAAGTAGATTATTTTAACCTTACGGTAAGATCAAACTGCAGCGTCGCATGACAAACTGACACACGATCCTATATCGTGCGAGTTCCAGTGATGAGACTTCATTCATTCACAAGCTGTACTTATCAAATACCAATAGGTTCTAAAGATTATGATGTGCCGCACGAGTCTGAGCTCTAGTTCGATAGCGGTGTAAAATAAAATCGCTAACGAGAGAGAGGCAAGCGACTGCCGCCACGGCCGACCCCGCCTTTGAGTTAAGTAAACATCGAGTATTATCTGTCAACGGCCATGCATTGCCTCTGCATGTCTGCGTGTGTGTGAACATAACGAAATAATCAAGTATTCACAATTTTAACCATTCATATCGCGACTTGTGTTATGATTCAATATCACAATGTTAATTATTTTAAACTAGGTCAAATTTACAGATAAAGTTTTTATGATTTTAATTTTATTTGTTAACAATAAATTCCATTATACAGTTATATATTAGGTATTAATTTGTTGATTTTCATTAATCAAATCAAACAATTAGTACTGAGAGAAAGCTATAGAATGTTCCAAATTACAATTGGAATAAAAATAAAATATTTGAAAACACGGTATCATAGAAAAAATGACGTTAAATATTTAATAAATAACTATACAAAGTTAGCTTTTTTAAACAATGTGTTGGGGACTACCTACGCGCAGTTCCGGGAAGTCGAGCAAAACGGCATGTTTACGATTATACACAACGGATGTGGTGGCTGCTTTGCTGCATTATTGTCGTAACTGATTAACACTTTTTCTTTTCTTTCATTAAATCTAACAGACAGTGCCTAATCTGCTTCCGGGTAAAAGTGACATTAAGTTAAATTATCATCAAGTTATAAACCTTTTATTAAGTATTTGGCACATTTAAATGTAGATAACAAAACACACTTTCTTCATATAATAAACAAATTGAAATTGTCAACAGAGTTGGGAACTGCTGGTGCTATCTAAATTGAAGTGGGACGTAGCGGGCGTGACGGCGCACGACTTCTTGCCGCTGCTGCTGTCACGGCTGACGCTGCGAGGGCAAGTCAACAAGGAAATGGTGCACAGACACGCGCAGACTTTCATTTCTCTTGCGGCTAGAGGTGAGCTCTATAATCTTATATTATAATCAGTATTATTGTCAGTATATTATTTTAGAAATTAAAATGTTTTTAATTAACTTAATATTTATTTATCTAAACTTACATATTCAATTAATCAACAAGAAATACTAAAGTATTTTTTTAAATCAAGAACGATTTCAAAGAGTCACTATTGTACAATGTACATACAATACAAAAATAGTTAATTGAATAGTTACTTGTATTTATTATCTACATCGCTTTTTTCGCAACTTTCAAATTCATGAGTTTTTGTATTGTACGTATATAAATATTTCTCTTTTAAATATGGTACAACATTAACTTGGGAGCGTTTTGTTTGCGGTGGTAACTGGTAGACAGTAATTAGCATCTCGATAGCACGTCATGTCACGACATCTCGCACCAGCTCGTAGCCGTCATGTGTCACTGAACTTTGACACATCTGGGAATTATGTGAAATATAAAATAATATAAACATTTTTATTGTAACTTTCGCTATGTTTGTGAAAGCTTAAACTATAATTATAATTTAATAAATAAATCGTGGTCCAAAACTTAGCATTGTGGTGGATTTATGCCCGTAAACTAGGGCTATAAAATAGCATATAGTGATACGTTTAGTAGGACAGACTTTAACGATTATAACTGTCATGCGAACACGACGATAACGGATGTTAGATATCGATAAGGTAAGTGAAATGTGGAATCCCTCCCTTTTTATCGATATTTGTTACTTAATGCAATTACATATTAATAATTTTGGATAGATAAAATTTAAAAAACTTGTATAATGTCTCTAACGTATTGATATTATATTGCAACTCGCAAAAGTATCTGTAAGGCAGAGAGATGTGAATAGGTTTGTTTACAGTGAGGGTAGAGAGAGGGCGAGGGCGCGTGTGTGGTGCGCCTCCCACGCCGCTCGCCCGAGCGCATTCCAGCACGCCTCGAGACTCCCCCTCTCCCCCGCACTTCGCGGACCCCCCGTATCCCTCATGGGATCATATGTTTTTGTGCAACGGTTTTTGTTGTTCGCCGCCGCTGTCGGTTTTTTTGGCGGTTAAGTTCACGCTACAGCTCTTTTATTTCACTTGCAAGGCGCTCCTCAGATATCATCTCATACTTGTCACGCAGAGGCTAGCGCAAACTTTTATGTTCAATCTCTTCTGACTATTCATTACTTGACGCAATCTTTGAAAATTAAAAGGTATATATTTACTTAAATATTACATTGAAAGCAGAGTTTATTTTAGTATTAGAACACGTTGCAAACAAATATAATTATTATTTTTAGATATAAAAGATCGAATTCTATTCATAACAATCACTAAACAAAAATAATGGAATAATTTAGTAACAAATAATAAAATATAAATACATTCCTTGTGGACACTTGTACAATACGAAAAAGCCACAAGGGCATCTCGCACCATCAGCAGACCCCTATTATGTATCATTATTTGAATGGCAAATTTAATACAGTAAAAAAATAACTGGTAATAATAGCAAAATCATACTCAACTATACTTAAGCTGACTTATCCAACTCTGTTATAAGAAGAATGAAATTGGTACATTGAAATAACATAGAAAAAGATTGTAACTTTGTAGCTTATTACTTTATCAAGACTTCACGTTGACTGTCGAAAAGAAAATGTTAATTAATACTTGCTATCTTAAATCCCTCCACGACCGCGGACGCGCCGGCGTTACAGTCAACAATGGATTTCTTAGAAATTTAATTAATTTCTTAGATATTTACCTGGAAGTGTTAAATATTAATTACACTTTTGATTTAAGTTATGACAAGTATGTTGTAAGTGGCATAGTTTTGTCTGCTCTACGTGTCAACAATTATAGCGCAGACAGGTAACGTAGAAACATAAGTGCGGGAGAACACCTATTTGTTCCGGTGGCCATTACGTATATGTACTGCTGACGCGGCCTCGCGAGATCGTTCACCTTGCGAATAGAGTATAGACTCTGAACGGCGCCCGCCCGTACCGTCCACGTTTATTGGTACCTACACTTGATGTTCAAGGATAATACTATGATTATGTCATCGAGCTCAAGCTTACAGTTTGTGTAATTCTTAGTTTAATTTAAACTTTTAAGTACCTAAAACTAATTTTAACTTTTAAACTTCAAAGGGTTTTTAAAGTTTTATTTGACTTTGTTTTAATGAGAAAGGAAAATGGCTAAAGTTTTGAGCGATTTGTGTAACAATATATGTATTGTACTATAGTACTCCCGTTTCCCTGTTGTTCCTATGAGCGTTATGGCCGTTGCAATAGTCGGACCGGTCGTCGCTCGTCGAGGCGGTAGGGCTTCGATGTTTGATTAACATCAGATTATGCAAATGCTTCCAATGAGCGGCCGCTCTCGTTGTTTCATCTCTTTCGTTTTGTTCCTTCCCTACTCGTACCTTTTATCTCGAGTACGCCGCCACAAGAAAAAAAAACGAAATAAATCTTTTAAATGATGCTGAAGGAGTATTCGGTATCCGTGTACTACTCGAATAAAAGATTGTTCCTACTTAATGATGAATTGAGATCCTTTAAGTCTTTAAAGGATCGTCTGGTATTGTCTAGAATCTTGATAATTGAAAATAATTGTTAAAAAAATTAATTAGATCTATGCTTTAGCATGCATATAATTAAAACTAAAGTTTTATATAAATATATTATACATATGTAACGGATAAAATGATCAAGCTCATATACAAAACTTTTAGGCCGTACCCCGTAGACGTCTCCGTTTTTGATATTATAAGTACTTTGCTTAACAAGAAAAATACTGCAAGAATCTATATAATTCATATATCTCACTTAAACCACTCGCCTTCCAAGGTCATAGCTGATTTTCCTGCTATGTTATCAATGTATGTATGTAAAAATAAGCACTGCGGTTGGCAAACGATAATAAATATCGGTACACTCTGTGCTTAATTAAGTTTCAGAACAGAATAATTTAGACCTGAATTTATTCATCCGACATCCAAATCACAATAATTTTCTTTTTTTTTAATGAAATCCAATTAAAATATATTATTTTAATAACATAAAAAAAACGAAAGAGAGTCGTTACTTTCAAATTATCTCATTTTCCAGAAATTTCTTCCTTCGTTTAATTAAATGCCAATTATTTTACGGTACAAATACAGGTTGTACAATACAACTCGAGCTGTCCAGGCCCAAATCGGTCCACGGTACAGCCTTTTTAAGAGGTATCTGTATACGTATAATGGTTTTGCCAAAGCAAGTCCGTGAGAAATATTCCAGTAAAACGGGCGCGCGGGCGCGGGCTATGGAATGCGGGCGCGAGGGCGGATGCCGGCTCCTTTGAGGCTACACTCTCCAGAGCGGGACCAACAACCTGTGGGAAGGAGAAAGGAGCAATTCATTACCGGATACGTGTGTAGTCCCTACGCGCTAATGCACTACCACTCGCTGAGCTACGACTTACGAACAAATTTTGTCTTTTACCTTTAACATTGAAATAATCACACAATATAAAGATTTATTCATATCCGCTCCACATACACGTGTACGTAGCCGTAGGGTTTGACCTGGTTTTAGACTGATATCGTATGGCAAAGTGCTCGTTTGTTATTCAAATCGTAGGTACTTGCAGTATGCGTTACAATGGTATAGTGCATAATTATAGATTACTAGAGGAAAATTCTATTATGGTCATATTTTTCATATCGTTGTATTTCAATTAGGCCTCTTTTGTTACAGATTACGAATTTACGTTGTATCCAGCAAGTACTCTGGCTTCCTGTAGCATCGCTGCAGCACTTCGCGGCCTAGGGCTAGACGGACACCTGCCACGCTTGCATGAGCTCACTGGCATCGACTCCGTAAGTTGTGTTTACTATTTACCTAACCACTAATTAAAGGAATAAAGTTTTATTTTCGTAGTAATTAATTTTATTTGTCGCAATACATTAAATCTAATATACCCATTGTTTTTAGGACTGCCTACAAACATGCTTAGAACAAATAGAAGAAATGGTACAGACTGTGATCGAGGAAAGCCAAGTTTCTGCCCCAAACGGGCCAGGTCGGGAGGCGGGCGGGTGGACGCCGCCTCCGACCCAGGACAAGGGGCACAGTAATGCCGCCACTCCCACTGACGTCAGAGACGTGCACTTTTAGAAACACATTTACGTGTTCTCTCACGAAATTCTTAGCGTGAGGACTTATGCTTTAATTGTGGTGTATTAGTACGAAAATACTATAAACTAGACGAATAAGTTGAGCAAGCGGTGCATCCGTGTTAGAGGACTGATACTAAGACTGACAAACGCGTGTGTTTTGCGTAAATTAAGGTATAACTTACTACGCGCGTAGTCTAAGCGATGTTTATATATATAGTTATCGTAATCGTAAGCCCTCCGTGCTACTTGTTGCCTCTTAATTTAAAATTAGCAATCGATATTACGGTAGAGGTATGCACTGATGGATTAAAACCTTATCATAAGAAATACCATATTTTCCAGTTCTAGTTGATATCTTGAAATTAAAATCTACCTCTTTATTTTTAAGATAAAAGTTTCAATTTTGCTTGACATATTACAAAAATAAATGTTCTATTCTATATAAAAGATTAGTCTTAGCAAAATTGTTTTTATGGGACCAAAGCAAACTTCATAATCAGTTCTATCACGACGGACATAGTGTTATAGATTCACTGCTCAATCGTAAACATGATGGGCTTGATAAATATTTATAAAATACAATATATCTACTTATACTGAAAATGAAGTAATAATAATTTATCGTTTGATTCGTAGTAACCATGATCACTAACTCGATTCCAATCAAGATTCAACATACAATTTCGTATATCGGGGGAAGGCAATAAATTACGCTTTTTAATTTGTAATAACTAATATAATATGTATAGTATGTCAATCTTTATCACAGACAAAATAAATGAATACCTACAGTACTTTCAGATGTACACTATAAATTATATTCTAATAGTTTAAATATAAAGTAGACGAAGGGCTAAAATATGTTTTATTTAAAGAAAATGTCTTTTTGTTCCTTTTTGACAAATGTTGTACCAACAATTATTTTTAGCGTTTAGATACCTAACATGTAATGTGATAGTGTAGAAAACATTTAACTTGAAATCATAGTCACTTCCAGTCATAATATGTTAACTTAGGGGTACTATGTCATTGGATTAATCTTAGAAAAAATAAGAAAAAAAAATGTGATTTTCGTATCATTGGTAAGTTAGGTGTATGTTTAGTTGTAAAATTATATGATTGTTCCTACAACCACTGAACATGAAATATGCAATAGTCAAGTTCCATAGTTTTGTACTTAATTCTATACGGACGAAGGGGAAAGTTGACACTATCTACCTACATTGAATATTGTGATATAATTTCCACAGATAAGTAATATTTTATAGTGCTTAAGTACGGGTGGAGAATGCAAACGGTATGTTATTAAAAATACTAAGTGTTAAATCTAATGTTAGATTAATTGTATAAGTTCTAATTTGTTTTTTAGATAGATAGATATTTATACATATTAAGAAAAAATCTAAATGCGTATGCAAATACGCCTTTATGTATTTGCTATTTGCAATCTCTTCTAGCCAACCTTTGCAAATTGGGGTTTTGGGTGTAAATAGGTAGTGTATCATAAGTAGGTGACTACCTGAATATTATTTAGTTGTTTGCTTGCATTTATATAACTTAAAATGTTTATTGAACAGTCCAATGTCTTCCAATTCTACATTATAGTATATCATAATCATATCCATCATGATTGTAGCTTCCAGCTGGATATTTTGAGTATAAGTTCAAATATAATTTATACTTAATTAACATGTTTTCTTATTAATATGAAAATAAATATAAGTTTATTTAGCCATTGCTATGTAAATATACTAGATATAATTGTATATATAAATAATGCTATAAGCATGTGGTGCCATAAGTAACACTACTAGAAAAGTATTTGTATAATAACAAATATATAATGCAAGATAATATTCGAAAATTCATATAATTTTTACCGTCTAGGATCATAGTGCGGTTATTTACTATAGTTTGTATGGTTGTGGCTTTACCTAAATAAGTAGAGCGTTCAAATTTGACTCTATATAGACATATTTTATATACGATATTTAAATGTATAAATTTATGTGGGAAAATATACGCATTAAAAGTAGTATATTTAATGCTTATTTTGGCTTTTAGACTGGCTTTTTAATAGTAAGATATAAGATTGTTATTATGAAATAGATTTAAAATTGTATGTTGTGGAAAATCGGGATTTTCCTGTAATGTATATATTATAGTTTAAAGAGTCACGTAACTCTAAACAGAAGTGATTTATTTTTTCATCGACGAGTCGATTTATATTAAGGAAACTAAGTTACAATATAAGATGACATGCAAAGTTGCAAAATTTGGTTTTTTATGTGATTTTTAAATTTTAAGTTACATTTGGTATTGTATGATCGTTGCGATTCGAGATGTAGATATTTAAAAACAAAAGGACAATAAAAATATACAAAATTATTTAAGTGTTTTCTTTATATAGGTATTTTTTTTAATTTAAAATAAAATTCTCAATTAGGCTGAATCAAGTGTGAATTGATGTGAAAATTTTCAACTCGCTTAAAATTTCCTAAAATTATTCCACCATTAGAGGTATTTTTTTTTTCAATTTATAATTTATATGGTACCAACCTTGAGGTATAACTTATATATTAAAAAAGACTTATGAAAATTGAATTTGATTAGAATAACTTATTATATAATTTAGAAGTTTTTAGTATAAAGTTAAGTTTTTATGTCACTTGAAGAAGTTTTAGTTTACAGAAAACTATATTAATCGAAATTTCCTATGTATAAGTTTCATTACATATTTTCCTGCTGAAAAGAGACATTTTCCCGAGGAAGGAAGTAGCTTCTGCAATCTTCAGCCCTCCATCCTTTCTACAAAAATCACATCAATCCTTCGCTCAGTATGAGAGAAAGACAAACAGACATACTTTCTCATAATTATAATATTACTACGAGTGTTTAAAGATGCTAAGAAACGTTTTTGTATGCCAATTGAAATATTTGTGTTACTATATTATTGACTTAAGTTTAATTGAACTAAATAAAACATGTAATAAAATTAATTACCATTTAATGGAAAACAAATTTACAATTTCATATACAATGACCGCACTTTGGATATTTTGATTAATTTATTTACAGTGAAATATATATTATGTATATAATAAATTTAACATAACATACAATACAGTATAATATTGACTAATAAACAATATTACTAAAGGCACAATACTTTAAATACATTCTTGCACAAAAACATAGAGTAAGCAAGCTATAGATACTCGTAAATGAAGTTATTTCGTTCCTTTTAGATAGAGCACATTAATGGCCGATTTCACCAACGTCACCTAAGTTTATGGGATCCCCTAAGCATGTTTAGGGGGCTGTTAGGGGACAGTTTCACATTGACATTGTTTCTGTTTCACCGACAGTTAGGGGTCACCTAAATGTTAAAATGCCACCTAAATATAGGTACTAGAAATACTGGCTCTGACGATGGTAAAACGAAATTTAGTTTAGGGGCCTTTTAAGCTAGGGATCCCATACGTAGGTGGTTAGCTTATGGGTTGTTGGTGAAATCGGGCATTAATCTTTCATATTAGAAAAACTTTAAATCTTGCTTACTCTACATAATATACTAACCTTTAACTTCACTACGAATAATAATTACTAAAATAAAGGAAAATTATACGGAAAATTAAATGGAATACAACCGACTATAATTATTAACAATTTTGTAAGTAGATAATAAATTTTGTTTAAAGCTAAATTCCCACGAATAACTTTACGACCTCATAATTCGATACTAATGGAATCATTAAGAGAGTCCCTCATACGGGGTTGGCTTAATTATTGTTGATTCAACAAAAGGCGGTCGGTTTACGATCGGATCGAATTGAGAAATGTCGATAGACAAATCGAATGGTATGTACCAAAATAGTAAAATATGACAAGTTTATTGGAAGCTATAGGAGATATATCGAATATCGGCCTCGCATCGATTTCGTTCGTTCGAAATTATCATTACTTATTGTCCTACTTATATATCCCGACAGTCAGTAGAGGATTTTTTATTATATATTTTTAATGATGGAAGTCGTACAGTGGTTAATCAGATATTATAGGCTATTTATATTCCAGCTCAATGCTTTACTCAGATATCTAGATATATTATTATTATTGAGACACATATTAATATTATTACTAATTGTAAGTACCACAAAGTAGGTAGATATTCGTAGCACCATAATGAATTTTAAGTCAAAATTTTGTTAATACTCCAGAAGTATAGTTCAAATAGTGAAATATAAGAAAAAAAAACAATAAAAACAAATAAAGTAAAAAAAGTTATTATATAGAAAAAAATATACGTAAAGTATAGATAAATTAATAGATAATTTTATATTAAACAAAGAGCAGCGGTGAGGACGATTAATGACTAAATATTAACTATCGATGGCTGCGTGATTCGTTAGCGAGCTAAGAGTACAATTTGTAACGATGTTTTGTCAAATATTGTTTAATTGTACAGTGCCGTGGTGACAATGATAGTTGGAAGTCATAATAAATGGCGACTAAATACGTGAAACCTTTAGATTTAAAGTAAAAAATGCGATTGTAATTAGATTGACAACAGAACGAAACACGGAGAGATGTGTTTCTATGGTTAATTTTAAATATAAAATTTAATGGTTGGAAATAATATAGAATTTATTATTGTGTTAAAGTAGCAAGCATCAGCATTTATAGACTTATTCAAACGAATTTGACAAGTGATCTCACGCATAGTATCGCTTCCTGGTACTAAAATATATATGTAGGTTGTTTAAAACCCAAATGCAGCCTGGAAATTACAGCACTAATACTATACACTTTTCGCTACTCGATCACATATGCACTACTTTTGGTGTGCTCTTCCCGCGAAGCCAGTTTAGAAGAACAGTTGGAGTGCTTTGTGTGTCTCGTGCTAGAAATAGAAAAAAGATATAAACTTTAAATATCTATACATATAATAAAATTGTAACTAAGCCGAATCTGTACATTAAATATTTTTTGGAAAATCGTATTGAAATAATCATTATTATCGATACAGAGGCCGAATCTATAGTTTTTAGAATTTTTGTCTGTCTGTCAATAGACAGACAGACAAAAATTCTAAACCGCATCACAGAAAAACCATTGGATGGATTTTGATGAAATTTGGTATGGTGGTGGTGGTGATAGGCTCGGAACATATTGCTACGGAACCCTTGATAAGAAACAATTAAAAACTCCATTGCTAATCAATAATAATTTTAAGATTTTTCAAACTTATTATCGACTCATTTCCATCCATCCTTAATTGATTTTATACCGCTCGAAAAATTAAAATTAATTTCCCTCATAATTTAGTAGCTAGCTTAAATTCGCATTCGGTTGTAGATAACAATTATCGATCCCAATTCTAATCCCAGATTGGGAATGAGTTAATGGGTTCTATGTGAAGAAACTTTCATTAGCAGCCCAGAATTGAAAATTTGCCAGTCTTACACTTCCCTGTCTAGGATAGTATATGTCGCCACACTGCATTTGATCTGAATTAGCGATGGGCGTTGAATGAACGGACTAGTTCAAACAACCGGTCGACGATACGTCGACGGTTCCATGGTTTACGTATTTCAAATGAATTAGTTCAATTAATAGACTAAGACAGTCCGTCTCGCAACGTAAACTAGTAACTATAGACTGTCTAGCGTCTACAACTACATTAAAGCGTACGTGGACCACAGTCCACGATTTGAACTAGTCGATCGACTAGTCGACGAATGAAAATGAACGGTCTAGTTTCGTTCACGCTAAATACGTCGACGACCCATGGCCAATCTGAATATACACTCAATCATATTGTTACAGTAAAGGGACACAGTGCACTTGTGGTAATGTAAATGGTTAGTCCTAGTGACGTTGACCGTGATGGAAATTCGGTTAGCACATAATTATTACTTACAAAGTGTGTGGTGCGCTTGAGTGAGTTGTTCGACTGCTTCGGGTGGCAGGTTAGCTACGTCGCGATGCAAGAGACGCATGCCGAGTTGTCGCTGCTCGCTTTCGTTCCTCAATCGTACATCGCGGCTATGTTTTACACTGCGCAATTCTGATAACCTAGCGGGAAACAATGTTTTGTTATAAACAGGGACTGTAAAACCCGTGGTTAGACTTTACCCGTTAATGTCATTAGGTAAATTACAAATATATTTATGTGTCAAAATCATCCCGTTTAAGTTTGAATACTATAAAATTACATACTCAATTCACATCGTCAGACACATTATAATTATTGGTGATTATTATTAAACTATCTTAACATAGAAAATACTACGAGAGTTTTTTTTTTTTATTTTTAATATGTAAACAATTAATGGGCTTAGATTGTTTTTAATAATACTTACTTGGCTTGCAACTTTGGTTTATCGGCGTCAGGATCGCTTATACTGCTACTTCGCGACGTATGCGCTTTATGTGTATCGACAAATTGATTTTCTTTTTCGATACTGAAACTGGCCAACTCTGAAATTCCATCTTTACTTGAACCAATCGAAGTATCTAGTCCTGCAGAATTACAACGTGATTTCAAATCTTCAAACGAACGTAAACTATCAGACAAACGAATCTGTAGCGTATCTCTTTCTTCAAGCAACTGCGTCAATTCCATCGTAAGTTCTTCACATCGAACATCTCTTTGGTGCAACATATACAAAGCTAAGTCTAGTTCTGCTCGCGGCACTGCATCCAGCAATTCTTTATCGAGTCCACTCGGTGCATATTCTCCTCCATCCGGTCCTGGTTTAGTTCCGGAAGCAAATGTTACATGTTTTTCTATCCTACTACTGGCAGCCCTCAAAGAATCTTTTAAGCTAGACACTTCGTCTTTTAAAGTAACTATTTCAAGTTCTTGGCTTTCTAGAACCATTTGTGTCTCTGTTGCTCTATTCGCATATTCTTCTAACACTTTATTTAAGTCACTTATCTGCTTATTCAAGTTTGTACATTCGATTATTTTCTCTTTTAGCGATTCAGAAAGATTATTCTTTTCATCTTCCATTTCCTTCAGTTTCTTATCAAATCCGTCTGTGTGTTCATGCATTTTTAACCTTAGGATAGCTAATTCGGATTCTTTTTCATACGTTAAATCCTCAATTCTTTTTTCATATTCTATTAACTGCTTTCTTACATTTTCAAATTCATCATTTCTTTGCGTTAGCGTAATTGTAAAGTCATGAGTCTTCTGAAATATTTCACTATCTTTAACTTGTAGTTGTTTTACTAAATCTGATATTTTATTTTCATAGTTGTTACGTAGATCTTCAATTTCCTGGCTTAATGTTGAATTAACAGATTTAGTTGCTTCTAATTCTATTTGAAGATTCTTCATTTTACTTTCAATTTGATCACATTGTTCTTGATTATTTTTGTTTAGTTCTTGGATTATTTTTTCATATTCCTCCTGGTGTTCGAAGATTTTGTTTTCATGTATAATTTTTTCGTCTTCCATTTCAGAACGAAGGATATCCAGTTGGTTAATTACTTCAGCATATTTATCTTTAAGACTTGTTAAATGCTCTTCTTTTTCTTGTAATTTATTTTGTAAAGAGCTTATTTGCTCAGCTAAAATAATTTTGTTTGTTTCTTCTTGATTAGATGACTGTACTTTTTCTAGAAGCTGTTCATATTTAGCTTCGGATGCGTTTAATTGACTTCTAAGATCCTGTTCCGTTTGTTGAAATTCAGATTCTCTTTGAGCTAAATGTTGCTTCCACAATTCTGCTATTTCAAAACCTCTTTGGTCCATAGCACTTGATACTGAAGATCGCAATTCAGTTACTGTGGATAAAAGTTGATCATTTTCTGTATTTAGATTTTGTAATTTAATATTCAAGTCATGTATTTGTTTCTCATATTCCGTGATATTTTCTGAGCTTTGTTTGTTTTGCTCTTCTAGTACATAGATTTTTTTATGCGCATCGTCTAAATTGTTTTTTAAATTCAAACAATGTTCTTCCATACTATGGCATTTTTCTGCCAATGCTACTGCATTTATATCATGTTCACTTTGTACTTTCTGCTTTTCCTTAGTCATTTCCAGTTGAATGTTTTCCAATTCATTATTAAGTGACAAAATTTTAATATTTGCTTCACTTTCAACAATTTTTAAACACTCAATTTCTTGTAATAGTTCATTATTTTTCTGTACTAGATCGTTTTCATTTGTTTTATATAAAAATTCGTTATCTTGTATATTCCGTTGTAAATTCTCGATCTCTAATATTAATTCACCATGGCGTGTTTCAAGCTGATTTTTGTTCTCATTAAGTATTTTATGACTTTCCTCTAAATCTGAAAACCTTTTCAACGTTTCGTGTAATTGTCGCTTTATCACCTCACAATTTTCACAAACTTTTTGTTCTAGCTGCTGTTTAAGAGCGTTTATTTCCATTTGAAGTTGTTCTTTTTGTTTTGTTATCTCCTGAATTTGAACATTTACATTTTTGCAATTATCACATGACTCTTGGCGTTGTTGTAGTTGTTGTTTTAGATTACTTAATTCGCTTTTAAATTGTTCAAGTTGCACAGATAACTCTTTATTCTGAACGATCATATTGTCAATCGTGTTTTGTAACTCATCATTTTCTTTCTCTAACTTAATCATCTCTTCCTGTACTTCTGAATTATCTACTCTGGTGTGTGTCGATATAGGTCGCGTGTTAGTGTAATCGGTTGTATCTTTTAATTCCCCATCCCACTGTAATGATGAAACTTTGTCATTTACTTGCTTAAAATTGTATTTCCACATTTGTAATTCATTATCCATTTTTTCTTTCATTTCCGTCAATCTATCATTAGCATTCTTAAATACTTCATTTTGTTTCTTCAAATATTCCTTTTCTCGTTTTTCCTTACTTAAGTCTGCGTTTAGCTCTTGTATTTTTTTCTCTAAAACTTCCACGTTATTCGATAATTCACTTTCTATTGCCATATCCAACATTGATGACTGTGAAATCTGTTTAGTTAATTGTAGTTCATTCGAAAGCATATCATTGGTCACTTTTAATTCTTTAAGTTTCTTTAATGCTTTTAACAATTTCGCGTTTGTAGTATCTAGTTCCGACTTTAGCTTTTGATTAGCATCATTAAGTTGCTGAATTTGTTGATTTAAATTAGCAAAACCTGGTATTACTTCTTCAGGTTCTTCACTAGCTCCAAGCCCCCATCCTTCATCAGAATTGAAAGGATCAAGTTCGCTTTTTTCTTCTTCTTCCTTAGTATAGCATATATATGATTTTTTCGGTACAATAGTTTCTTCTATTACACCTGTAGATGATATGACATGAGGAGATTGTTTCATCTTCGCATCAGGTACAGTTTTTGCCACGTGTGGCAGAGGTTCTACAGTAGCAGGTTTTGTATCAGAAATAATTTGTGATTGAAGATATGATATATCAAAAGGTTTTGGCTCCTCATTCATAGCCTCTATTGTAGATGAAATTGTCATTCCTTCGGTTTTTGGTATATTCATTTCAAAAACTAGTTTCGTATTTTCTGTGATTTGCCGTATTTGTTCATCTTTTTGATTTATTACAGTTTGTAAATGTTCGTTTTGTCGTTTTAAAATATCTAATTCCTCTAATAAATTGTTAATTTTTTGAGATGTACTTTGGAGTTCTTCTGTTAAATTTGAATTCTTACTATCCAATTGGGCCATATTACTTAAATTGTTTTCTTGTAGTTTTTGTATTTTATCAGTAAGTACTAAAATTTCTTGATTTTTAGAATTAAGTATGGCGTTTAACTTATTTATTTCACTTATGTACTGCTCTGTATAATCTGAGGTTTCTTTTTGAATATTGTTTGTTTTATTTTTAACTAACATTTGATTTTCTGCAACTAGTTCGCTGAGGTTTACATTAAGGCTTTCAATTGTGTTTCTATATTCATTCAATTTCAACTCCAACTGTGATACATGTTCATTAATTTTTTCATACTTCTCACTTAGAATTTTCTTTTCTTTAAAATCATTTTCAATTTGCATGTTAAATTCTAACTCCAACTCTTCGATATCCTTTTTCTTTTGGGCAACAAGTGTACTATGGTCATGAGTAACACGTTTTAAGTCAGCTTCTAAATCTCGGATATTATTTTGATACGTAATTATTTCAGATTCAGCTGTATCTGCTTTTTTAGCTTTATCTTCCAATAAGTTACACTTGTTTTGTAAGTCAAAGCACGATTTTTGAATTTTTTGAATTTCTTCGTTCAGATTTTGAACTTTAAAACGTAATTCTTTATTTTCACTCTCAATTTCATGTAATTGTTTTTCAGCGACTCTGTCTATGTCAATAAGGACTGCAAGTCTATTTACTAATTCATCTTCTTGATCTGTATATTCATTGTACGCTTTTTGTTTTTCATGTAATTGCGTATCTAAATCATCAGTTTTTTGTTCCAAACTCCGGCGACTATTTTCCATTGCAGATATACTTTCTTGGAGGCGATATATCCTATTTTTATATTTATCAATTTCAGACTGCAAGCTTTCTATGTACATGTCACGTTCTTGTACTTTTGCGTCATGACCAAACTGAACTTGACTCAATCTTTCATTTTGAATTTCTATTTGGTTAGTTAGTTCTATAATTTGATCATTTTTTTGATTTAAATCACTCTCCAAGCACGATATTTTTGTTAAAATATTAGCATTATTTTTTTGCTCAATTTCATACTCAACGATTTTCTTATTTAAAGTCTCAATTTGATTTTTAAGAGTGACATTTTCATCACGAGCGAAATATACATCTTTGTTAAGTGAATCCATGGATTCATTTAGTTTTTTAATTGTATCAGCATTAATAGTAATTTGGCTATGTAATGTTTCGATTTCTGATTGTAAATGTAAAATTTCTTGGGATTTCTGCTCAATTATCAATTTTTGAGATTGCAATCGGTTAAATTCTTCTTCCGCATGCTTTAACTTTTCCTGCAAAGCCGGTATTGTTTCTACTTGTATCAAAAGTTGATCATATTGCTCATTTTTGTATTCAAGTTGTTTTTGAATTTCATGATATTGATTTTCTAATTCAGTATACATGGCAGTCTTTTTCTTGATATTAAGTGCGAACTTTTTCAACTTCTCCATTAATTCTTTATTTTTATTTTCCATCGCCGTATACTGTTCGTTTTGAAAATTTTTGTCGACAGAAATTGAACTCAGCTTTTCCTTAGCATCTTCATAAAGCTTTGTAAGTTCATTAAATTCACTGCTCTTTTGAACAACAATATTGTGTAGTTTCTCATTATCTATTGATTCTTTTCTCAATTGTAATTTAATTTCGTGTATTTCTTCGTCACGTTCCTTAGCTTGTAAAACAACTGATGACAGCTCTTCCTGTTGTTTTTGTTGTTGAGATTGTAATTCTTTAATAACATCTTGTTTTTCTGCAAATGTTTCATGCAATTTCTTTAATTCTGCCTCAAGACTGCTATTTTTATTTTCTAATTTTGATTTAACAGTCATTAATTGAGCTTTTTCTTCTTCCACCGCTCTGAATTTTTCTTCATAATCAGACAATGTACTTTGATAAAATGCTATTTGCTTATTTAATGACTTTATCAATTCATTGTTTTGATCCTTTGCCTTTTCTTCTTCAAGTAAATCTACAGTTGACTTGAGTTTCTGTGACACATCATTCAGTTTAGTTATTTGATTTATGTATTCTGATAACTCTTTGTCCTTTTGCTGCAAAGTATTGCTGTAATTGATAACCTGTTTTTCGTATTCTAACAATATATTTTCCAATTCGTGAATTCTCGTATCTCGCGCATTTATTGCGGAAGTATACTCTTGATGCACTTTTTGTATCTCAGCTTGCAACAACTCTGCTTGATTAATATGTAAATCGTGTCCTGCCTTATTTTCGTTAGTTATTGTATCGATTTCTTTCCTCAGTTGGTCATTCTCATCTGTTAGTTTTTTAATTAATTTTTCATTTGATGCATTGCTTACTAATGATTCCTTTTGTTTGTCTTGCTGTTCTTCGAGAGACAAAATCTTCATTTGGCAATCAGCTATTTCGTCCTCTCTTTCTTTAATTGTATTCTTAAGTTTAAGTATTTCTTTCGTTAATTGTTTTACTGATTTTGTTCTGCTAGTTCCTTTATCACCAGCTGATTTATCGTCATGGTGTACTGATTCTGTCATCATTCCATCTGTAGTATCTTCTGTATTTGAAGGTTTAATTGCATCCGCAGTTTCTTTCAATATTTCACTCCTTTCATGTTTCAATTCTTCTATTTGATGATTGAGATCGTCATTAAGAGATATAAGTTTTGCTTTCTCAAGATTTAGCTGTTCAATAGTAGTTTTTAAATTATTGCATTGATCAGTCAATTCCTGTAAATTTTCATTTAGCGATTCATTCTCCAAAGACAATTTATTCATCTTCTCCATTACTTCTTGTCTTTCGCATGAAAATAGATCTATTTTCTTTTTTAATTCAATAGCTTCTTCAATTAACTTTTCTTTTTGAATCTCATGTTTCTCACTTTGATTACTATAATCGGGATGAGAATCTTCAGTTTTCTTCTCAGTTTGAAGTGATTTATTATATTCTTCTAATTCTAGCTTTTCTTGTGTTGTTAATGATTCAACAATTTCTATTGATTCAGCGGAGCTTACTTTCTCAGCACTCAATTTTTCTAACTTATCAGTAAGTTCAATATTTTCTTGAATATAGTTATCTAATTTTTGAAGTAATTCTTCTTTTTCTTCTTGAAGAATTTTGATAGTACCATTTAATTGCTCTCTATCAAGTTTTAGGTTATCTATTATAAGTTCAAGTTCTTGTTTGGAAGCTTGTAATTTATCAATTTGCTCTTCTAGTTGTACTGATTTCATTTCTGAACAAACTTGTTCATTTTGCAATGAAGATATATCCGCTAGTTTGTCTTCCATCTCCAAATTTTTCTGTTGTAAACTATGTAGTTCTGTAATTGAATATTATATACACAATTTTAGCAAATATTCACTTAGAGCCGTTTCAACTATAACATTAAATACCAACTTAACATTTTGTTATGAATAAAGAAATTGATTGTTTATTATAACAAATTATAATGAAAAAAAGAATATAATTGTGTAAAAAATTATAAAATGAGTGCATAATAAAAAAAGCTTTTATAAAAAAAATCAATCAATTCTTTTCTAAATACAAGTATTAGTCCATATTTAAATTTATAAAAACTGTTAACTAACATATCAATAACGCTGATACATCCTCATAATTTTAAATAATTTAGATATGTTGTTATTCGGCAAAGCTCAAGGTTGAATACACTATTCCTTGCAAAACTAATTATATGGCAAAGTTAAACTATATTACAGCCACTTGAATAATGAGAAATAAATGTTATATTTTTAACAACATTGATCAAGTTTAGTATCTCACCTTGAACTAAGTCAAATTTCTGTGTTTCAAGTAAAGTTATTGATTTCAATCTCGTCTCTGACAAGTTCTCCATTTCCACTAGTTTTTTGTACACTTCAGATTCTGTTACTGTAATAACAAAAAAGAAAATGTCAAATAAAAAGAAAGAATACAAGTAATTAAAATTAAAATATCAACCTTTGTATACTTACATCTTCCACCGTCATAATCAACCAAATGCAGCTGAAGATTACCTTTCTCTTCTTCTAATTCTGCCACTTTTTGTGTGAGCTGATGTAGTTCCTCGTTTAATTTAACTATTTCTGCATTAGCATCAGACACTTTACTGAAATTTTCAATAGTTTTTTGCATTTGTTTCAATTTTATTTTAAAATTAGACTTTACTTTAATCATATTCTTATTAGATGCCTCTATCTCTTCATTAAGCGCCACTATTTGATCTTGAGCTAACTTTAATTTTTCTTCTAACTCCTCAACACTTATTTTTGTAGCTGTATCTCTCGTAGAGTCAGTATCTTTTAAAGATGTTTGTAAATCAACAGCTATCGCCATATCACTTGTTTCTACAATTTGTTTTGAAGTTTTAAGCAACAGTTCTAATTCACTAATAGTGGCCTCTTTTTTATCAATAGTAGACTGAAGTTCCATAATTAATGTGTCTTTTTGAGCTAACATATATTCCTTTTGTAATATTTCTTTATTTAAAGATTGTAGCATCATATCTGGCTTAGGCTTTTCAGATTTTCCCTTCCCTGTTTCTTGTAATGATTCTGATGATAAATGACTCCAAGGAGATTTCATTTTTGAACCTCTACCTGTTTTTCTTGCTGGTAATGGACTTCCTCGCTTGTTTGGAGATACACTAGGTTTTGTTTCTTGATTCATAGCAGTTAATTGATTTTCCAGCTCCTTGTTGGTCTGCCTTATTTCAAAATTAATTTGTTCCAATAACTCAATCTTTTTAGACAGTTCCTCCATATTACATATTTCAATTGATCCCTTTTCTTCTTCTACTGGTTTCTCTTCAATTGTTAGTTGGGTGCTATTATCAGAGAGTTGACTAATTTTCTCTTGTAATTCCATAACCTCCTTTGTTTTTAAATCAAGTTCTTCTGCTAATTTTGAATGAGCTATAGTTATTTCAAATCTTGAATTTTCTAAAATAGTATTAGCTTCTTCAAGACTCCTAATTTTGTCATTTTTTTCTTCAATTTCATAAATTAATTTTTGCTTTTCCTGTTTCCATTCTGTTTCCATAGTTATAAAATTAGTTTGCATTTTTATCATCTGCTCTTTAGTATCTTCTAGTAAATCTAGAGTATCTTTTTCTGAAATCATATATGTAAGCATAAAAGTTGTTAGTTTATATTTGTACAGAAAAAGTGATACTTTATAATTATGATTAACTGTTATATGATAATATTGGTTTATTAATATTTTAAATTAGCAAAATTCAAGTCAAATCATTCAAATTAAATTGAATAACTGTAATTTCAAAATAAAGTTATAAATGATTATTTGAAATATGAATTACTAGACATCTAGAAGTAAGGAAACTACTAAATACATACCCTTTTTACTCAAACTATCTGACATTAATGTAGTAGCTCTATTTTTAGCCTCTATTATCTGGTCCTTTTCATTATTTTTTTCTTGTAAATCCAAAATTGTAGTTTCCATTGCTCTCATTTTAACTTGCATTACACTTAGATTATTTTCTTTTTCCTTAATTGTATTCATCAATTTAGTTATATCAATATTTTCAGAACCCTAAATGTTAAATGATATAGTAAGAACTTATACACATGTATTTATTTATATATTATTTAGATAACATCAATAAGGACTAATTGAATTGTGAACTACTAGGAGTTAATATAATTAAATTACTAATAGGTTAATGTCTTCCATACAAACCTTTTTCAAGTCAATTGTTTCACTAATTGATTCTTTTTTAGGTGTTTGTACTGTTTTTTTCATAGGTCTCTTACTTATTTCTTTATATTGCTTAATTCTTTCCATCAAAAGTTCTTTTTGTTTTAAAGTATTTGCCAAGCTTTCACTTATCCCAGGAACTAAAATAAAAGTAATCATTCAACAATTTTAATTGTCATATTAATTATAAAATACAAAACAAAGTGTGCTGAGATGTTGCTAAAATATCAATATTTCCATAACTTATGAACGTTAAAGCTTAATTTCAAAAGCAGAGCTCACTGTTTAATGCATCTTGGACAGATAATGTAGTAGATGTATCAGTTGCAACAGAGTAGCCAGTTCTCTCACTTATAGTGGTTGCTATTTCTGAAGCGGTATCTCCAATATCATCCTCTAAAAATTAAAGAAGTCATTAGAAGAAAAAATGTTCAGTAATATTTTCCAATATAGCCAGTACAAATATTACAAACCAAAAGGACGGCCAAGAAGCTCTGCAGTAGCTTTTCGGTGTTCTTTAATCCTTTTAGATACAAGAGCTGCATTTTCGAGGCATTTCTGAGCTCTTTTAAATTTCATTTGCCTTTCTGAGGATGTTGCATGCTAAAAATAATTAGTATTAATATGTATCAAATTATGTTACATACAAATTCATTTTCTTCAATTAATGTAGAAACTAAAGTAGTTAATGCAACTTAAATAAAAACTTGTTATTCTTAGATTAATGTGTATACATTATTTTTATGTTCTTTATTTTTAGGTTTTGATTATTTGTTAAACTTTCCTTTTCCCAAAAATTAAAAAATTAGGAAATATTGAAGTTTATATTACACAGAGGGACTTTGCATAGAACCTTATTTCATACTAGCATTGCCCGCAGCTCCGCCCGCGGTCAGATGACCAAAAAGCAAATTCTTAGGTTTTACATATTAGTGTACAATGCAGTTTTTGTATTTTTTCTCAGAAATTAGATATTTTTCCGCGGTTAAAAATATCCAATATGGCCCGGATAACCAGCTATCACCATACCAAATTTCATCAAAATCCCTCCAGTGGTTTTTCTGTGATGGGGTAACAGACAGGCTGACAGATTGACAAAATTCTAAAAACTATAGATTCAGCCTCTGTATCATTAATAATATTTATTTCAATAAGATTTTCCAAAAAACATTTAATGTACAGATTTGGCTTTGTTACAATTTTGTTATATGTATAGATCATTTCAATAACATTAGAACTAATATGAGTTTATCAAACCTGCGACTTTTACAGTGGTAGGTGATAATCCCACGACAGTAGTCATCTATGTTCATTTTAATACATAGATGAGATAAGCATAGGAATGATTGGCAATATGGACATTTATACTTATTCAACGTCATACGTTAAGAAATTTAGTATAACATATTGCATACCTTATTTTGTTTAACACTTCCTGCAACGCTGGACACTTCACTTAGCGCTGCTATATTGGGATCAGAAACTTCGATCTTTTTATCCTGATCAGGATTAATGTTGATGTTTTTACTTTCTGACATTGTATGATTTCCGCCGCACACATTAAAACGATAAGTAAATTAATCAAAGTGACAATAACAGAGAAATACCACGTTTGGATGGACTTAGTTATGAAAATTTTTAGCACATGCACATCAAAATATTTAATATATTGCCACCACTTGGCACTTGTTATTGCTTGCCATTTTCGATTCGAGTTTCGACATTGTATTTCATAATTGTTAAACCACGTCAGCACAGATGACAAATAGCACAGATTAATATTTAATTATTAATGATCACGTCAGCTCTGTATAGTTTGTGGCTACTCCATGGTACATTGACTTAAAGATCGAGTGGTCACTGACAATAATTAATAAAATGTGATAAATTTTATTATCGTAATATAATAATAATCTTTTCTTTACACTAATATTACATACAGGTAAAGTTTGTGCATTTATGAGTTTTTTTTGTACGAAGTAATCTTTGGAACTAATAAACCGATTCATATTTCATATACAAATAAAAATTGAAAGAATTTGTTGTAAGTAAAATTTAATTACCAACAATAATCATTATTAATAATTATCCGATTCTTAAGTGATTCGAAGTTTGATATATAGAACTTAGAAGATCTTTCAAGTTTTTACAATAAATTATCCGAGCAAAATAATATGATATGGGTACATAGAAATACTCTATTTATTTACTTTGAAAAGTTTCAATGCACCTCACTAGTCTTTATTTATCAACTTAAATAAGACGTACGACTACGAGAATAATTCCATATCTGCAGTCTGCACCTCACTAGTAACCTCTGTCTGTCAAGTATTTGACAGCATATATATAATAAAAATTAAAAGGCAAAAGCTAAAAATTTCATAAATTTAAAATATTTCTATATATATTATTCTAAACAAATTTGGTTAGATGGCATCATCTCGTATTCAGGTGTGTTCCTGCAACAAGTAAACTATGTATTTAATTAGATTTTGGTTGCATCATAAGAACTTGTTGTCTTTGTTAAACGTAAGTGTGACCTTATCTCATCAAAATAAAAATAACCAAAAATTTTTTGCAGGCGACTGTACGCCAACTATCCAAAACATTTAAAAAGAAGAATAGATTTGACATTGGTATAGCCAATGAGTTGCCACCTGCTTATAAAAAATTCTGGCATGAATGGAAGGTGTTGAAACCTGCAGCTGTTCATTTTATTCCTCAAGAAAGTAAATGGAAGCGCGATGAGCTTACTGGAGAAACTTTACCAGTACAGAATATTCCTATACCTCTTAAATTTCCAGCTGAAATACATGAAGGGATTTGGGGCGGGGAGGCAGTTATTAAAGGTTGGTTAATATGAGACTTATTGTTGGTTTACACATTTTTGTTATATTTTATCAATATATATGTATATCTTTCCAGGTTTCCAAAAACGAGACCCACGACGCCGTAGAGTGCCTCACTACTGGGTTCCTGTTCTTAAGAGGACTGTTGTGAAATCTGAAGTCCTAAACACCCATTTGTCAGTGACTGTAACTGATAGAACCATAAAACTAATTCATGATCATTATGGATTTGATCATTATCTGCTTAAAACACCTGCTTGTGATTTAGTATCAATGTTAGCTTTGAAGTTGAAAAAACAAATCCTTACTGAATTAATGAATGGATGTCCAAGGCATGCATATGACCCAAAGAAGCAAAAGGAGGTGTATGAAGAATATAAAACCTATTTGTCTTCTGTAAGTTTAAATCTGGTTGTAAATGTGATTGCATTTATGCACAGTTTATTGAATTATATTTTTTGTACTTTAGTATACACCTGAAGAAATAGAATGGTATGGACTTTCTTGGTATGAAGCTCTGAGTAAAGTTGCAAAAATTAAGGAAGCTGCTAATAAACCTGTACCTTTAAAAAGCCTCTACAGAAAAAACTTGGTCGAAAAGTTAAAAGCTGCAGAGATAGAAACTGAAAATACATCAACTGATGAGATATCGTAAGTTACTTTGTTTATCATCCTACTAAATATATATTCAAGCTAAAAATTATGTATTTTTCAAATATGTAAACAGTTGAATTCATTATAAATTAATTTTATTCCAGAAATACAACATCATGGTTGTCAAAAATGAATCCATTTGGAAAGAAAGATGAAGCTTAGTGAGTTTCGTAGTATTTGTGTTATATTTTAAATTGTTGTGTTATAGAAAAAATTGTATTCTTGAAAGCAAATAGATGGATAAAAGTATAGTAAGTTTGTTTTAAATTCTTTTATTATCATACTATTTAATATGAAGTACCCAACTGCGGCTAAGCCCAAAGGAAGGTTATTTTTAAATTAAAAGTTTATCCACTAAGAAGATATAGTTAAAAATTATAAAAGTAAATTTGAAATAATATATTCCATTAAAGATTTTTATGAGAGCATAAGCTAGCTAAGCTTATGTATTTAACAAAACAATAGAAAATATGATACGTATTATTACATTGAATTAGATGATCAAGTCAAATCAAGTATATCAGGGATTTTTAATCTATACTAATATTGTAAAGAGGTAAAGTTTGTGACGTTGGGGATAATCTCGGAATCTCCTGAACCGATTGAGATGAAATTTGGTAACAGGATAGTTTGAAACCCTGGTAAGGCCATAGGACACTTTTTATTCCGGAAATAACCCTTAAGGGGGTGAAAATCGGTATGAAAGTTTGTATTGGGAAGCAAGCTAAGGACGAACCCGTATCCTATGGCACTATGGCAAGTCCCTTTACAAGTTTAGGAATTGTGAATGTTATGTTCAAATTAGTTTTGCCATTTTAAGAATATTGTATAAATATACATCAATACAAGTCTATTTTAAACAATTAATAATTTTATTTTATACTAGCATTGCCCGCGGCTACGCCCGCGTTCAGATGACTAAAAACCAAATTCTTAGGTTTTACATATTAGTATACTCTTACATTGCAGTTTTTGTATTTTTTCTCAAAAATGAGATATTTTCCCGCGGTAAAAAATATCTTACATGTTGACCCGGATAACCAGCTACCAGCATACCAAATTTCATCAAAATCCCTCCAGTGGTTTTTCTGTGATGCGGTAACAGACAGACAGAAATTCTAAAAACTACAGATTCGGCCTCTGAATCGATAATAATGTTTATTTCAATAAGATTTTTCAAAAAATATCTTATGTACAGATTTGGCTTAGTTACAATTTTATTATATGTATAGATGACAATTTATAGAAACTTAATTTTATCCACGAGTATATGTAAGAGGTTAACACAATATTGAGTCAAAAATATTATTTCAAGAAAATGTTTAAATGAAACAACAATTATTTTTAATATATTTAATAACACAATTCTAATAAGTGACCAATCTAAATAATTATAAAAATAACCATTTGTGTATATTGTCATTTATAGGAAATATGAGAAACAATACATTTTTTTATAAACCTTTATTACACTTAACTTTTGAATGAACTAAGAACATGCAAAATAATACTATGTAAAACAATACTAAATACGACTATACAATATATTTTAAATTATCCTTTTTTAATTATATCTCTATGATTTGCATATTTTATTTAATTTAAAAATTAAATGTTCCAAATATAAATTCTCCTTATTGTAATTTCCTTCGTCTCGTCTTTTAACTCATCATAATAAAACTGTTGAGATTTATATTATAATTACAATATAGGGACCTTACATTATATAAATGTCTAGATTTCTACTTAGTTATCCCAAGTTTATAACATACAGTTAGAATTAAATCATTGTATTAATCTTCTTACGAAATTTCATCTAAATCGGTTCAGTGTTTCGGAGCCTATTAGATACAAACAAACAAAAAAAACAAATTTTTCTACTTTATATTATTAGAAGATATAATTTTCATGTATCTTAAGGCGACGCGAAATATAGACATTTATATTATAATATAAGATTATGCAAACTGCATGTTAGTACCTGCATGTATATAATAGCACAAATACACAATTAAATTACACATAATAAAAACGTTTCTTAAAAGGCCATACTGTAATTAATTAAATTTAAGCAGTCTGTGTAAAAGATTGTCTTTTTTGAATAATAATATAAAGTTACACTCTACAATGTATGGAAAACTCAAAAGTATTAATTGTGATAAGAGTAACTAAGTAAATATTTTTTTAAATAACTGATAGTTACAGATTCAAAAGAATTTGGCGAGATTGGCCTTTAACGTTAACAAAAAGGGACGTGTTTCTTTGCCACTAGATGGCGCGGTGTTCATTCCATAAAAATAACCGCGTAAAAGTTGACACGATCGAATAAGTAAAAAAACTCGTACTACGCACACAAGAGAACTGAAGCGCTTAAGAAACAATAAATGAGATTAAAACATTTTCTACTTAACATTACAACTATTACACAATGCATAACAAAGTACCTAGTGGCGTATTTAGCCTACTGCAGTATAGTCCATGGCCCAGAGCGGCATGCTGAGAGGGGCGGCGTAAGCCTCGTCGATATTCTATTTGTTTGATACTTGATGTGTTGTTATCGACGATTTTGAAAAACTTTGTAAAAAGTGAGCAAAATAATTTATTAAAAACGGCTATGTTAAGGAAAATGTGGTCGATCATATGAGTCCGGGGCACAAAATTAAAAACATGCCAATGAAAGTACCAGACGAGCAGAAGCAGATAGAGCGGGAGGTTAAAATTACTAGTAAGGTAGTAGAAATAGGTGTCAAATCTTAAAGTCGCGAGCACTTTGGATACGTTTTCGTCCGAATTTTACTCGTGCGAACACGCACGATTGACCCCGACCTTTTAAGTACTATGGGGGCGCGCAGACTGGGTGCGGGTTAGTCGTACTCGTATATATATATATATACATGCGTGTTCCGACGTCAGAAAACAATCCGAACTTGTTGGGATTTTAAAACACTTTCGTGCGTTGAAAATTAAATATGGATGGAACTACCTATTTGACGGAGAAAAACGTATTCAACGTGCGCACTTAATTCGCACGACAACGATCATACGTTTAATTACGATACAAATTCGTGTCCAAAGTGCGCGCGGCCTAAGGACTGTGCCAAATTTTGATAAACGCTACTAAAAGTACCAGGCGAGCAGAGGTAAATAGGAGGTTATGTGACAGTGCACTCGGCGGGCGCGGCGGCGCGCTCGGCCAGCAGCGCGGCCACGGCGCGCGCCAGGTACGTCATGGTGCCGTAGCGGCCGCTGGGCGCGCTGTCGTACAGCAGCTGGCACACGCCGCCCGCGCCGCCGCACACCAGCGCGCCGCCCCCCGCGCCGCCCGCCGCCCCCGCGCCCGCCTTGGCGCAGCACAGCGTCGCGTCCCCGGCGCAACGTATCTAGTGTCGAAATTGGATGATATAGTTAACAGTTTTATAATTATATACTAATGGTTACTAAACTTGTGTAATTTTTTTGATATATCCTTCTTTCAAATTAAGTGATTAATTCACTTAGAAATAATTGTTCTACTCTTAGGGATAGAATATTTTTTTAAAAATTCCCTTAAGAGATATCAATAGTAATTAATCCATTCAGTAAAGAAAGAATTTTTTTTTTTTTTTTTTATACTATTCAGAATTAGTGCTTGACTACGTTCCACCTGATGGTAAGTGGTAACGCAGTCGTAGATGGTGAGTCGCACTAATTCAGTAGCCACCTATTCACTCTTGCCTTGAAGACACCCATATTATAATCGGTCGGAAACACCGACGCAGGCAGGTTGTTCCAATCCTTAGCCGTACGTATAATAAATGACGTAGCGAAGCGCTTCGTGCGGACGGGTGGAATGTCCACGACATAAGGATGGAGACCAGCCGTTCGTCGGGTTGTCCGATGATGGAAAGGGGATGGGGGAATTAATTCATGTAGTTCCTGCGCACACTCTCCGAAATGTAACCTATAGAATACACAAAGGCTGGCAACCCTACGTCGGTGATCGAGGCTTTGTAGGTTAGCTTTTACCAGCGTAGGGTCACCTATAAGCCTTTGAGCACGCCTCTCAATCGAGTCCAAGGCTGACAGATGGCATTTCGCAGCACCAGCCCATATGTGGCTACAGTATTCCACACACGACCGGACTTGCGCTTTATATAAAACAAGAAGCTGTCCCGGCGTGAAATACTGTCGGACCTTTGCAAGGATGCCAACTTTCCTCGCAGCTACATTAGCCTTAGACTCGATGAACCGCCCGTAGTTCATGTTGGGGCTGATGTCCATCCCTAACAACTGCAGACGTTCTGTGTATTCCAAAGGCACATTCCGGAAAGTAGGAGTCAAGGTGAAAGGACTCCTTTTAGTGGTGAACAGGCACGCCTGTGTTTTGGTGGCATTGAAACTCACAAGATTGGCATCGCCCCAAGTGGAGACTGTCCTGAGTGTGAGATTCAACCGCTCTACCATGGCCTCTCTTTCGGACTGAATTTGATCTCTACTGGCCCGAGGATTCGGCAGGTATCTCTCTACAATAGTGCTGTCGTCTGCGTACCCATAGATACCGGGTATAAGCAGATCGTTGATATGCAGCAGAAACAAGGTTGCAGAGAGGACAGACCCCTGAGGAACTCCTGAGTTGGTCTTTAAGGGTTGTGATGAACAACCATCAACCACAACTCTGAGTGATCGGTCGCTCAGGAAGTCTTTAATCCAGCCGATCAGGCCAGGAGATATGCCATAGGCTGAAAGCTTATTTATAAGGCTAGCGTGCCAGACCCTGTCAAAAGCCTTTGAGACATCGAGGGAGACGGCAATCGCCTCCCCGCTTCTGTCAATAGTTTCGCCAAAGGTGTGGTTGGCATACACTAGAAGGTCCCCAGTCGACCGATTCCGGCGAAACCCATATTGTCGATCACTGAGGAGATCGTTCTGTTCTAGGTGTGCCATAAGACGAGTGTTCAATACACGCTCCATAATCTTGCAGAGTATGGAGGTGATTGAGATCGGACGATAATTGGCAGGGTCAGCACGGCTTCCTTTCTTGGGCACTGGTTGCACATTGGCAAGCTTCCAGGATTTAGGCACTATTCCAGTCTTAAGAGAGAGGCGGTACAGACGTGTCAGTATCGGAGACAACTCGGGAGCACATGTTTTAAGGACTATCGCTGGTATACCATCAGGACCACTGGCTTTATTCACATCTAGACGACACAATACTCTTTTAACCTCTTTATTAGTAATCGCAATTTCAGGCATTGATATCCCGCAGTGAGGTAGATGTGGTGGAGTTGCATTGCCAGAGTCTAGACACGAATTTTGGGCAAAAAGAGAGGCAAGCAAAGTCGCCTTTTCCTTTGCCGTATGAGCTAGGGATCCGTCAGATTTTACCAGCGGTGGCAGTGAGGGCCGAGAGAAGTTCGTCTCGACAGCTTTGGTAAGGGACCAAAAAGCTCTGCTGCCAGATGGTTGGGCAGAGAGCTTTGCGCCAAAATGTGTAATTCGGTCAAGACGAGCCTTCTTTAATGTCTTTTTGTGGGACTTGGCGGCTAAGTTAAAGGCTCTCTTCTTGGATCTTACATCCGGAGCTTTGCGGTCTCGAGCATCAACCCAGGCAAGGTAAGCCGATTGCTTACGCTTTTCAGCAAAGGTGCATTCGGCATTAAACCATGGGCGAGCTTTGCCACCAACGGGTACATCAGAGAACGGGATAAAATATTCCATCGCTTGATGCACCACATCAGTTATAGCATCCGCACAGCTCGACGGATTGGAAGAAGAGAAGCAGACCTGCCGCCAAGGAAAGGATGCAAAAAAATGTCGCATCTCATCCCAATCTGCTGACTTGTATTGCCATACTCGTCTAACGCCAGTAGAATCGTTATCTCGTGGAGAGTAAGACGATACAGTTTTTACCAGACAGTGGTCAGAGCTACCCAATGGGGATGAAACCTGGATGTTATATCTGTCTGGATCAGTTGTCAGCAGAAGGTCCAGACAATTAGCTGAGTGGCCATCTACATCGGGTACCCTCGTCGCTTGTTCAACCAACTGGGAGAGTCCAAGTGATACCGCAAACTTCCACGCTTCTCTCCCATGGCGTCTTCTGGTATGGGAACAGCCAATCTTCATGATGGGCGTTAAAGTCCCCCAGAAAGACAAGCTGCGCGGTGGGGTACCGTTGCATAGCCACATCAGCGGCCTCACTGAGATATTCAAACAATCGAGTTGTCTCCTGGTCACCTGTGTGCGATCGGTAGACACAGGAATACAGGATCTTTTCGATTCCTGTATCTACGATAACCCAGATCGTAGAAAATGTGTGGTCTTCAAGGTGGCGGAGGCGCTGGAAACAGAGGTCATTTCGCACGTACAAACAGACCCCGGCCCGTGAGCTAAAATTATGCTCCAACGTGTAGCCGGGATAGTCCAGGTACTCAGCACTCAATGGACATTGAATCTGCGTCTCCGTCAGAAAGAGCATGTGCGGCTGCGCAGTCTCGAGGTGAAAGTGGACTGATGAGAGATTTGTGTGCAATCCTCGGATATTTGTGAGGTGCACTTTTAATGAGGGGGAGTGCAACCGCTTAAAAACATTACTCTTTTTTCGACTTTTCATGTAAGTATTTTTTTTTTTTTTTTTTTTATTAATTAAATTATGAAAATCGATTCACAATTAGCAAAATGTCGCATTAAAGTTGGTCAAAAAAATGATTTCAGCAACGACTTGTTCAACAATTAATCATAATCATTGATAAAAAAATACAAGCATGATGCTTTTAAATAGGGTGAAAGAAAAAGTCACACCTGATCTTCCAAAAATATCTGATTGGCTTTGTGAACCAAATGTTCAACCGTTATCATTTCACCGAGATGGATGGCAGCTTTGTATTCCACGACCAAAGTGAGGACCATGAGAGCTTCCACGACCAACTGTCGATATTCCGGCTGAGGTATTGAATTCAACACCGTCTCAACTGCTAGAGCGAACTTCAGTTCTCCGGATGTCATTTCTTGTGTCAAGTTCGGTTGAAGAATTTTTCCTTGAATCACTAGACCTTGGCACTGGAAAATTTATTAACTGGAATAAATATCTTTCTGTGAAACATGTGTTCTACTCATTTGGTTCCACAAGAGAGAGCCTTCAGTAAAAGGCGTTTAATTATTATTTTTTTAAACAAAGAATTGTCGCCCAAAACCACATTCATTTAGGTTTAGTTGATTTTTTTATATTTTCTGAGCTTTCAAAATGTGCTATCTCGATGAGAATCAGTAACGAGAATGGACATGAATATCTTTCAATGAGGCAACATGCATATAAAATTAAGATTAATGTAAAATACCAAATAATATAAAATTCTTACTTTTTCCAAAACTGCCCACACGCGCTGGTAGAAGTCCCTTGGGACGCGATTAAGAGCGCCGTCTAAGCGCCTTCGTCTTAACCATTGTCCTTGACGATCTGGTTCCGTTATTGGACCTAAATAATAATATCGCTAGTTTATAAAATAAAAGATTAAGGCCATAAGAGAGTCGCCTAATAACCATGAGATCAATTAAGAATCAAACAATAGCGTTATCATAATTTCAACTAATACTATCTATCGTTATAGATTTCATAACGCACACACACAGACACACACACACACACACACACACTATTTTACTAATAAATAATGTAAAATAAGGAAAAATTTAATTTGCTATAACAGGTTGGTTACTTTTGATGTGGCAATGGAAGAGCGAGATTGTCTGTCACAGGTGTTTTTTACACTTAAAACGCGATTTCAACCTTGTTTGTAATTTTTAAACATTTTGTGAATGAATAAAATATTGTTATTATTATTTTTTTTTATGTCAATAAGTTTAGGCCCCCAGAAGTGTCAACCCAGTCTCCCTCTTTACGATCCGCCCCTGACCAAAATAACAATATTATTCAAGACTTTCGAACCTCCATTCTTCAGCTCTAAACGATTCTTTTAAAATAAAAACCATAGGGTAAAAATATTATAATTACATACCATCATCTATATTGCCCTGAAGACCTTGCCCTTCCAATACAATTTGAGATTTCTTGGTATACCGATTTGACTTGTTGTTGCTTATTATGGAGATATTACCACGTCCAAATGCTAGAATTTAGTAAAGTTAATAATATTAGATCCTGAAGCGAAATAAAAATTCATTATATAATGGATAATAAATCTAAACCCGGAAGGGCTAAAATTTTGACAATATATTCTTATAATGGACAAACATAATAAATATTTTTTTTTTTTAAATTCAAAATTCACTGTTAAAAAATTTATCTGTCCAATTTAAAACTGGTGACTCGGTATATTTTTCAAAATTCAATCCAGTGGGGGAATAATGAAAGTAAAAAATTTGTACGGGAAACAATATTTTATAACAAAAATTAAAAAAGGTGTGTTGCAAGTCGGATAAAATATTGTAATGAAATCCTTAAATAAAAGTGCAAAATTATGGGAATAATAATTGCAATCATGCATACATCATAAGCGCAATCGTAAAAATTGGGAATGTTTATCTAATAGTTTAATTACATATTTGTTAAACTACTTTTTGGTTTAAAGAATAAGAATTATTCAAGCAATCAGAAACTTCTTTTAACTTCTTGTTTACTCAACAAAGGACAAAGTAAAAGTGTTATTGACAAACAATTTCTTAACCTAAAGCATTAGTACTTATAATTTAGGGCTTAATTCACAAATATGGACAAAAATATTTAGTAAAATCGCCTAGTTTTTCTTTTTATTTTAAAAACACATTCACTGAAAAATTAACAAATATTATATACTGGTAAAAGACTTAACATAAGCTTTCCACAGTTAACATTCAACTCGCCTTTATTCTTATCGAACTTGTTCTTAAAACCAAACATTGAGTTGGCTGTAAAGAAATATTTATATATAACTGGAAAACAGATCTTAGTACATATTCATCATTATATTACTGCCATCCACATAAAAAATGCAAAATCAAAAGAAAATTCCAAAGTCAATTATTTTGACCTAAATGTTGTGGAAGAGAAGATATCGAGCTTGTATTATATCAATAATGACTTGATCCATTTTTATTTTTCGGACATTTTTATTTCCATATGCTAAAATTAACGCCCTAATTTATTAATTTCATCTTTATTGATATCAACTTTTCTACAATTTTTTACTGTTTAATCTATTTAACACCACTAATATCATAAGCAATATAACTTTATGTAGCGTATCTATCCGTAACCGTAAGTTCCTAGAATGAATTCCTAAAGATCCTATTTTAGAAGTAATCAATAAAAATAACTCACATTTTCCACTATTAATAGCGAACTCCTTGCCGCTGAGGATATGGTAGAGAAGATTCTTCATTTCGAAAGGTGACAAGTTGAGAAGATGCTCCGAGGCTTCTTCGCCGTCGCAGGCGAGCGTGCGGGACAGCTCTGTCGCCATTACCTGATGGGTTTTTTTATATTTTTACCATAACCAAGCAGGTGGTGTCATCCGCATATTGAATTCCAAAAGCATTTCTCATTCATGACACTCTCTTTATATATCGATATCGGGAATGTTACGAGATTTTAGATCTGTGTATGTTCACAATATACCCGGTCCGTGTAAAATAATCGTATAAGAATATGGATATGAAATTATTTCTGACTATCCGATACGTTACGATTACGAATTACCCATAACTAACCTTTTTTATATATATATTTAAATTATCGGCAAATATTATGGACAAATCCGGGTATGAATGGCATAAGAGAAATTACTTACCTGCCTCTTCAGCTCATAAAAAAAGGGTCCTACAAATCGAGTAATGGAAACCCACCTGTATGATAAGTCCAACTCTGAGACGCAACATCTCTAAGAACAGTTGAGGCTCCGTTCGTATGAACATAGCGAGATACACGAGTAGCTCCTGTGTTAACATCGCTGTACTTTCGTCATCCCCGTACGCCTGATATTAGAGGAAAAAAATAGTAAATTTTAGATAAATATTGTATATAATGTCTTTTAAAATATAATATTTTGTGTAAGAATATATTTATTCTATGTGCAGCATCTCGTGGACTATAAATTTTAACCGTCACACTTTTATTTACCTTTTCATTTTTGTCGTGTTTTTCACGTCGCAAGGACTGCATGAAAAAAAAATTATATAAAATTCTTATTGGTTGTAGTATTTGATCATGATAATCAAAGCTTTTTGTCCTAATGAAACTGACCATTTATATATAAAACTTTTTTAATGGAGTTAATTTTTACAAGTACTAATATTAGTTTTATCTAATATTAGCCTCTGAACAAAACTTTGCCTTCGTTAATGGATACCGGGAAAATATTCTCCATACTAAACAAGTGTGAGTGCTATTTGCATAAATTATAGCGAACAGTACAGAAGTTGATACACTGCAACACCTAGTTATGAGATACAGGAAAGTGATAGAGATAACACAAAAACTTACTCCAAATAAATACATGTACTGTAATAAAAAAAATTTCAATGTCAATTTTGTCAAAAAAATATCAAAATTTCCAAGAAAACATTGAAAAACTTTTGAAAAAATTTCTGTTGTAAATCATACATAATCTATGATTAAAAAGTACCACATTTCCAAATTCCACCTCCAGAAAGAGAAGACAAATAAAAAATGGGCAATTAAATTGAAACAAATCAATAATTAAATAAGGCATATTAGGCATGTTACAATCATACATTTATAGAATATCATATTATAGAGAAAGAATATAATATTATATATATATATATATATATATATATATATATATATATATATATATATATATCATGTGTCAAACAAATAGCAACGGTTACCATGGCAACTATTAATCATGTATCCTATCTTATTCTCTCACCGGTTTAACCCTATATATTTGTGTTTGTTTCCTTCTCCTGTCGTATTTTCGTTTTATCGAATTTCAAAATCACAACGATTCTAAAGAAGTTTCAGTTTAAAAACAACTGTCACACAAATCAATTGAAGATTAAAAACAAAAAAAATTAAGTGCATGTATGAATATGTACACGCGCAAGAAGTTAAACTTCTGTAGCTTATCGGTTCTCTTTATGAAATTCAATTTACGTTTTAAATAATTAGGATATGTGAAATACTAAAAATAACGCGTGTCAGGCATATTATAATCATATATTTATAGAATATAATTTATGGAAAAAATATAATATTATATACCATTTGTCGGACAATAACAACGGTTACCATGGCAACAAACGTACGTACATTTTTTCGTCACGCATTCACCGGCTCATCCCCAAGTCGTAAAGAAGTTTAACTTGAAAAAACCACTGACCACATGAATGAGCTGCCGCAGCTCGTTCTCGGGCAGCGGCGCGGTGATGGTGTGCTCGCTGCTGGGCGGCATGCCCACGGTGAGCTGCTTCTGGCGCACGAGCAGGTCGGTGACGGCCTTGGCGAGGTCCTCCACGCGCTTGCCGAGCATGCCGGCGCTGTGCCGCACCAGCCCCCACAGCTTCTGCGTGCACGCCTTCTCGTACAGCGCTTTCAGTAACTCCTTCACCGTCACCGGCTTGCCGTTCTCTAGCATGCCTGTTTTCATTATATTCATTTATTTATTCGAACTAAAATCTACACCTACATATAGAGATAGAAAGTACATAAAATAAACAGTATAAACTAGCTGAATTGGACAGATACTTAATTAATAATTTTTTTGAACGATGCAGTGTGTGATGAAATTAGTATGAATAAATAAAGGTCAGAGGACACTTTCATATCGCAGCCAAAAAATCATATCCATTATCGTGCTTTAAAATATTACGTTTGCGAGATATATTTTGAATGATCGCTTATATGAGAATTATGGAAACTTTATTTTTATTACATTTTGATTACACCTAACACATATTAGAACGAGTTCATTTTTAATGATTGTCATTGTTTTCATATGACGATCTATACCTTCACGTCGGAAACGTGATTTTTAAGGCGATAACTATTTCAGTATCTTTTATCTATATACATATACTAGTTTCACAATGAACCGCAAATATAGAAAAACTTTAAAATGGCGAAATATTAACAAAGCCAATGAGCTCACCTTACCTGACAAACATCCAAGAAACATTTTAATATCTACCACCCTAAACAAATCTCGAACGATTATTTATAAAATATTCTTTACACAAACAAATCTATCTATCACAATACAAATCTTTAACATTGCAACGTTTAACAAATAAAATACAAATATAAAATCTCACCGGTACTGAACTCGAGGCCGTGCGTGTCCACCAAGTACTGCAGGATGTCGCCCTGCTCGTCCAGGCTCTCCGTCTCACGCAGCATCGCTATGAGCTCGTCCGTCTCTTGCTCCGCGTACATCAGGCTTTGGGACTCAGATATAGTTCTGTTCCGTAATGGTACGTTCTTTACTGTCGCTAGAAAACAAATTATAGACATAATTATGTATTTTAGTTACATATATATTCTCTTTTTAGTCGTGGTCTTAGATAACTTAGATAGATTACATAGCAGTATATTAAGGTTTGCTTGAGGACAAGTCTCATACGTAGAGTAAGTACTTTGAGAGACCAATGAGTTGAAAATATGAAAAATATGAAAAACCAAATAGAGCTATGAAATAGAGTTTGGATGGGCTATGAAACTGGGCTATTAGACGAGACTACTTTTCAACAGACTCGTATAAAATATTTGGCGGATGGTGATTCGCCTCCCAGTAGATGGGCCATCAACAATGGGACACGAATCGACATATGGTCTAAACATCGGCGTTAGATAAAAATGATTATTGATTACTCAAGAAAGCAATGCATGAATAAAATTAAGAAGATTAGTTTATACTGTCCGGAGATGGAAGATGGTTGTTTCACATTTTTTTTAATGATATATTAAAGAAAAAATCTGCTAGTCTGTAACTATATAATAAATTTTTTTACTTACATTCCTCTTTAGGCGGAGATGTGTCTTCTTTACTTATTTCAATAGACGGCATCACTACCCCCAAATTCGTTGTGGACGTTCCCCTATAAAAATTATAACAAGAACATTGTTATTTTTTCTCTTCTTCACAGATCACAGATACGAATATTTTACAATTGTTGCCTTCGATCAACAATACTACCAGATATCGGGTCGGCGTAAGAAATTCGACTCGGTAAATATAAGCTCACTTACAAAGTGAGCTTATATTTCGGTTAGTTCTATTGGAACATTACAAGCGTAAACACGTTCACAATGCCGCAATGTGTATTTTATGGGTCCATTAACCACAACTTGAATCACACGCTTTTTTTCACTTATGGAAGGACACTTGTTTTTTCTTGTATTCATTTTGATGCCTACTTAAAAATTAATAACACAAATGAAACACAACCCACTTAATTAAACGTTTGAAAGGAGACTAGACTGTGAGCTCACTCACATCTCATTCATGTAAAAAAATAGTGAATCGACAGGTCTGTGGATGAAAAACGCTTCAAATTATAGAGAGTAGAACTTCAAATTATAGAAAATATTCATTCAACTTCAAATTACCGAGGGGACCAGTTAATATTGATTTTATTCAATTTATCGAGTGTTTTTCAAGGGACCGGGGAAAAATTTCAAATTTAACAAGAGATTCAAAATGTGAGAAGAGATTCAAGATGTGTAAGAGAGTCAAATTAACGAGAGTCGACTGTACTTACTTCGTGAACGCCCGTTTCTTCGCGTCCTCGGGCGAGGGACTGCGCCCGAACGCGGGGTCCACCTCCAGCCACGAGGGCTTGCGCTCCAGCACGTGCGGCCCCGCGTACTCACCTTCCATTCCTAATGTTTCCGCTATAAATAATAATTACAATTTAAATAAAGTTACTTATTGTAATAAATGGGACTTAGTGTGATCCAAATGCTTATATTAAAATTATGAATTTTGTAAGGAGAAAGCTCATTTTTTGAACCCATGTTATAACTTTTAAACGGACGTTGATTGAAATTCCATTTTTGTTTTTTTTTAATTTAATACTTAAAATGTAGAATCATTTTATGTGTACCTATTAAATTATAGAATGAAATAACCAATATCATAAAATCGCTAAATCAAAGCTTACTAGTTACTAGAGTAAGTAAGAGAACTCTAATCCTCTTGACTTTAAAATGTATAATTTTAAAGTTTTGTTAAAGGAGTAGAGTTCTCTTTAGCAATTGTGGGGACAATATGAACATATAAACTAATATTATTTAAATAAAGTAATTTTATTTAAACTAAATAATATGATATTAAATGATACACGACTCACAATCCACATTGATGGATCGAGTTTTCTTGATAGCACCACGTACGGACATCCTGCGTCGCAAAACTCGCGCGTTCTTTAAACCAGACGGTCGCGATAAAAAGCTAAATTTGTTACTGAAGGACCTCAGTAAGTGCTCTTCTAAATAACTTTGCACCTGGGGATTTAGTTCTGTAACAAATATAATCATCATAAATCATTTGGTAAAAATGAATAATTTCATATTAACTGGCTCATAATCTAAGTATTACTCGAACCTATGATTTATATGTATAGTAGTTTATTTTATGACGGGTCGGATATATTATGTAAACTATTTTTTTTTAATTATACATCAACTAGCTACTGTAAAATATGCAAGAAACTACTTACAGAAACTAATTACAAATATAAATATTCAAGTTAAACGACACGTTTGGCTCAGTTTATAGTGCGCGTGTATTTACACTACTTGCTGTGCCAGCGGTCGCTGGTTCGAGTCCCGCTGAGGGCATTCATTGGTGTGATGAGCACGAATGCTTGTCCTCCAGTCATGGGTGTTTATATTTATAATATGTATATATTTAGAGTTATATATGTGTACTGTTTCAACTATCTGGTATCCATAACACAAGTGTCGTAGCTTACTATAGAACTAGTTGGTGCTGGAGGTTAATTTATGTAAGTTAGAAATATTAAATAAAAAAAACTTACTATCTGGATAGCCATCTTCTTGACTTCCCAAAAAACTCAAGTTAGTTATGGCAGATGTACTCAAGAAATCACCAAGATTTCCAAGTGTTACTCGCGTGCCGTTTATGTAACCAGATTTCAATTTTTTCATGGTGGTTACCATTGCCATGGGGATTTTACCTTGATCTGAAATCAGTTATCTTTAGAACAACCCTTACTAAATTATATTTTAGTAGAGCGAAAGCGTGAAAACAAAAGCGGACATTAATTTAATTTTAACGGAACTTATATATAGTTCTTGCCAGAATTTTAATTCTTCAAAATGCTAGTGAGTGTACGTAATTGTTATTTCTGTCTGCAATTATAGTATAAATTCTATGGGATTTCACTGTGTTGGTTATTGAAATCTTGCTATGCTCAAACAAACAGTATGTTAATAGATAATAAATACCTAAGATCCCGATGAATTAGGTAATAAATGAAGCTAATTTTTAACAGATTTACATTTTATACGTAAATTTTGAACTCAATGTTTCAAACAATCTAAAAATTGTTCATTAAAATCAAAGACGTTGAATTTATAATTGCGAAATGTCATTAAATGAAACCATTAAAAATAGATTCATTAAATAGAAAAGTTATTTAAAGATACCGAAGATATAAAAAAAATCTTTGAACCACAGGCAAAATTTAGCAAAAAAAAAAATACAGGAAGGAAGGAATACGTAATCGAACAAATGAATTTACCCAGAAGATATTGTGTGGCTAATAAAGTGATGGTCGGTCTCCCTAGCATTTGTTTCCAGCTCATGCCAAGGAAGGCGACGTTCGCTGTAAAAGTACTCGCGAGCAACGCCGGGTCTCGGGTCATGTAGTACTCTTCGTAGTCAAAGTTCTATACGGGCATGCGGGGAAATTATGATAATACGAGACAGTCACGACATGATAGTTAACTATGTAGTTTATTTGTTAAGGGCGCACCGAGGTAATTACGAAATATTTGTGCTCGTTTGATCCCTTGCTGTGTTATTATTACTAAAACATAATATTTAGGATATTTAAGGATTTATTCTATAAATCGTATATTTTAGAAACATGATTTCTTGTAGTTTCCTCGATAGATAAAAAATCCAAAATGATCTCTAAAAAACAAAATAAACCCTTAGTGCGGCGTAATTATTCAAGGAAGTCCATCAGAGTTTTAATAATAACAAAACTATACGTTTTCTATAACGTATACACTTTACATTTCCAAAATACGTATTTGTTTTAATAATACGAAGGAAATACCTAAATTCACAAGCGTTCCGTCCATCGTAGCCCATATTATATTACTAGATTATGTTAATAGTTGAAAAAAATGCACTAAATCACCAAAAAAATAAAAAAGTATCACACTATCAATTACATGACTGCCTTAAAATAAATAAATAATATTATTTAGATCATATGTGTTATGATGGAGATAGGATAGCAAAAAATCACTTGTTATGTATATTATTTTCATAATTTTAGTTGCATAGCACACAAAGAGGTTGAGCAAGCAAAGATATAACAACTAGAATATGAATACCTAAATTCATTTTATTCAAGGTCAAAACAATAAGTGGTCGCCCAAGAAGATTTTGCCATGAACACTTCAAAAAAGCAATTTCAGCTTTCAGTATATCAACCATCAGTTCATTGTCAGAAGCTATGTAGAAACGCTTCATATCAGAGAACTATTAAAGCAAACAATTATTATAAATACATAATAGTATATAGAACAAAAATATGTATACTATCACATTTATGTGCTTATGAAGTCAATATTCGTTTTATTATTAAAAGTGAAATTTCTTTCTATCTACATGTTAATGAATGTGAAGCTACACCAAAATTGGAAGGAACATGTGTGAGTAAAAATAATAATTTATATGTATATAATATACATATACATTATGATACATAAATGAACTAGATATTTTTAAATAATATAGAAATAATAACAATAAAAAATTGATTTAAAATATCTGATGTATATACAAATTTGTTATACCTGAGGAGTAAAAGCAAATATGCGCTCATTCAATGAGTATAATTTACTAGTGCTCAGAATGCCGACATCTCGAGATTTTCTCCCAGATAATCCTAATTTTTTATTACGCCCTATAAAAAATAGACATAATGATATAATTTTTACAATTAATTATTAGTTTACATTGAACTGTATTGTAGAAATCAAATCATAATTACAAGCAGGTTTTTGTTACAAATTAACATTGTTGGTCATAAATAACAATAAGTTTCTTTTATAGTTACCTAAGTATGTATAAAGGTGACTAAGAACTCTTGCAGGCTGTACTTCAATGGGAGCCACTTCACTGATAGTTTGAACGTGAAGGTCATATTCCATAAGCTTATCTCTGATCTCATTATCTTCAGCCAGTATTACTATTTGGACAACAACATCTGGTTTTTTTTCAGAGCAAAGTCTTCTATTCAGAGGGTCTAATTCCCCAACAGCCAAAAAACCCTAGAATTTTGTTATTTCATTTTTATTAAAATGCTATTGCTAAATGAAATATGTAATAATACAATATATCTAATAGTAAAATTATTAAAACCAAAATAAAATGAAAAATTACAATACAATACAGTACCTCTTGCAACAATTTTCCTAAAATATATAATGATTGAGCCCATATAAAGGGGCATCTCCCCAATGGTATTCTTTCTTGACTCCCTGGTTCTTTTTGCTCTAAATCAGCTTTTTCTCCAGGAACTGAGTATAATTCAGGGACCAATTTTATGCCATCATCCTTTCTAATCATTATTTTTTCAAGTTTCTGCATATATTCAGAAACATTATTTTTATCACCTTGGAAGTGATAATCTAGTATAAGATAACAGAAGAATAACGGCCATTCACATTCTATGTTTTCGAACATTCTTAGCTCCCAAGGCTCGTAATAAAGTCTATTGGGGTCTTCTCTAGGTGTTTTGTGACCATCTCTCAAAAACCTTTTGCAACCATATTTCCCTTGTAGTTTTGTTACTATTGTATCTCTTGTTTTAGCTATCAAATTTGGGTCATCAACAGCAAATGCTGGGTAGCTTATTATGGAAAGTAGTCCTGAATCCAATTCTTTACTATTTGACTCTCTCGGCAACATTGACTGTAAAACAGCTTGACATTTTTGAGCTTCATCTGCTAACACATGGATTACACTTGAGGGTCCTCCACGAGCACCAAAAAGATCTAGTTCATTCATAGCCTCAAGGGCTGCTTTAGCCATACCAATAGAACTAGCATTGAGTTCAGGTAAACCATGATTTGTCTTATCACCTCTTTCCCAGATACCATAATCAGGAGTACAGTAGGCTGATTCAATATAAAAAACTAAGTTTTGAATGAATGCAACTTCATCTAGAGAAAATACTATTTGCAAACCCGATGCAGTCATTTGTGCTAAAATAAGAAGGTACAGTGAAATGGCATCAATTTGCAAATGCCCCCATTCATTGTCTTTAACAACAGTACGACCTGTTATGGAGGAGTATTTAGCGTGAAGGGAATCATGAGTATGCTGAGTACTTTTGAATTTTTCTACTTTATCTTTTTGCTGCATCATTGCCATAAGAAGACCTATAAAATATATTAACTTTATTTATTTTATACATATACCAGCATACAAATTATAAAGTAAAATCAAACAAACCTCTCATTAGCTTTACACAACTTTGTTCTAATTCATATGTTTTAGCCCGATCTTCATCTTGGTCAGCTATCTTTTTAAACGCCATAGATAGCCCCCAGACTGCCAAAATGCAATAGAGATTGTCCCTAATCCATGCATGATCATTTTGAGGGCTAGCTGGAAACAAACCCGTTACAGGTTGCTGATGATCTAAAATTAACTTATGCACTACTCTTTGATAGTAATCCAGGCGGACGCCTGAATTGCTTCGTGTTCTCATTTTTGATAACACGCGTTTTCTATTTAGATTTGAATGCGACGCAGAAAATCATAATTAAAATTATTTATATTTTTTGTTCGACTAGGTTTAAACATGTCATTTGAAAGTCGTGAATGTCATTGTCATTAGTCAAAGTCAAAGGTGAAATAAAGGGTTACATACTCTATGTAAAGATGTGTCAACTCGATTTACTAACTCGAGTTAACTCGAGTTGGGCTTAACTCGAGTTGAATTCTCTCTGACTCGAGTTTAGTTTGGCGTGGTAAATGAAAGAATCAAGCGAGTACGCGGTTGACGCGCTCTCATTCTTACGCAAGCGCGGCGATTCGTTCGTTGTGTGCACGCTTTGTACAGTCGTTAGCACTTCAGACTATACATTTATGTTGCAAAATCGTTCCTATTACAACCGAATAAGATGCCACAGTGTTTAACTTAAAGAGCTGTCGTCCGAAACCTACCTTTTTAGAGTGTTTTTTGTAGTTGTAGCGCGAACAAAGGCGCGGGTTCTGCTAGTAATTATATAAATAAATAATAAAAAATATAAATAAGTAGCGACTCAACCTCGCTCCGCTTGGGTTCGTCTCTACTTACGTTTTATCGTTTAGTATAGATTTCTCAGAGATAATATATTTTCCCGTAGTAAAAAGTATCCTATATGTTGACCCAGATGGTTATCTGGGTTACAGCTGGTTAGCTATCATCATACCAAATTTCATCAAAATCCCTCCAGCGGTTTTCCCATATGCGGTAACAGAAAGACAGACAAAAATTCTAAAAACTATAGATTCGTACTCTGTATCGATACAACTTTCTATTTCAATAAGATTTTCTAAAAAATATTTAATGTACATATTTGGCTTCGTTACAATTTTATTATATGTATAGATTACAATTTTCCCAATAAATATATTTTATTACGAATCTGTACCATTTTTTTTATATTGTTGCGTAGCCGAGTCATTAAATTGGTACAAACGAAACAAATCATTCACTTCATTTTTCATCCAGTTAACTCGAGTTACGTGAATTTCAACTAGAGTTAAATCGAGTCATATTTTTTACGAGTTGGCACATCACTAATTTGAAGTACATTTAAACTTACTGGTTGATATTTATATGAAAGGCAATCGGCACCTTATTATTATTATATTTTTTATTTTGAATTACAATTTGTATGATGGCATTTAAAATGTTTTAGTTGAGTGGGTGTTCTTACTAAATCCATCCACAAACTTTAATGTAAAGTAATGCTACGAATCCTAAATCTGTGATGACTGGTGTGTTGTTACTCTTTGAGCTATATTGTCTGTGTCTCTGAGTCTCTAGTAAAAGTAATAAGTATTCTATTTCTGTGATTGTTAGTTGTTGACGTTTCGACTTTTGGGAAGATAGTTTTGTCAATTTTTGTTTTCTTACTTGTTTTTTTTTAAACTTGTTTTTGTACCCTTTTACCTTTATCTTTTGTCTTTAACAATTAACTTTAATGTGTATATGTAATACAAAAAATGTTCAATTATTGGTTAATTTACAACATTCTGTTTCTTCCATATATACATGGGAATTTCATTCCTGCTCTTGTCACCCCAAAGCAAAAGGAAATAAAACATGACTTAGCTCAAGCAAATAATAACAAGCTCACGCAGAATGTTATTACGGAAGGTGGTGCAATATTACCCAGTAATCCTATAATTCAGTTAAAGGATCATCCAATGCTTATAACTTCAGAAGATGAACTAAGTCAAAATAAAAATAGATCTATTGTCGGAAGAAAAGGTGTTAATTACACTCATGTAGATGATGTCCACAAACAAGATAGCACCATCTTCAATTCATCTATTTTAACAAACAATGAAGAAAGTAATCTAACTATGATGCAACCAAATAAACCTAATGATTCTAAGCACATACTTAATAATACCCAAAAGTTTAATATAACAAAAAGTCATAAACCATTAATTTTATCTCACGAGGCATTGGTAAAAATGGATAAACTTAACAATTTAGATATTAGTGAAGATAATGTACCAGATATTAAAGTGCACTCAATGAAAGCTGGCAGTCATCCAGGAATGATAATGCCTATAGTGATCACAATTTTAGTAGTTCCTATGTTTGCTGTTATTGGCTTTATGGCAATAACAAGAGGTCGAGAAGCTTGGAAGAATAGGCATTATAAAAGAATGGATTTCCTTTTGGATGGCATGTACAATGAGTAATACATAGTAATTATTACTGTAAAAAGTTTTAAGGTATGTAAAATGTCAAAAAAATATTTAAAATGGAAGAAATGGTAAACAAGTCGGAACCATTTTTTATAACAACAAGATAGAACTATAAGTTTGGTTGTTATGCAAACTTAGGCTAATATGGCTTACATTACAGCACATCATAATTTGCATAATGTAAAAAAAGGCTAGATTCAACTTTTGAATTGGATCATATTAAAAAGGGATACCTTTTAAGGAAAAAAGTAAACAATGACAATATACATAGCAATACATAATTGTGGTGCTTTTCATGTGCCTTGTTGATATTATTTACTAATCATAGTTTTATGTATTTTGTATTTTTGATATTGTACTTTTTATATTAGCTTATGTAGTCTTCCACAAACTTGCAATTGTTGTGATATATCCAGAATTTAAAGAAAAACGTTATAATTATTGTAAAAGCAATTATTTTTATTAAATCATAGTATTAATTGTTATTTGTTGTTTAATTTAGTTGTTTCCTTGGGTTGTCATTTTATTAAGTTACCTTAATTACTTACAAAATATATTATGGACCTTGTCTGATTGATACCGATTTGATTGATCCATTAGACATATTTTGTTTGGGCAAGTGAAATCTTCATGTAGCCTATAATACTTGTGTTATCAAGATAAATCCAGCGATGTATAAATCATTAAAATCGGTTTAGCTGTTTACTAGTTACAAAGAACATAATACATACCTACAAGTCAAATACATAACCCTCCTTTGGGATTTACCACAGTTGCCTAAAAATATGGAACATATTAAGTATTTTCTGATGATTTTGTACAGTTTCATCCCTATAAGTCTGTTCGAGTTTCAGATTATCATTTCAGATTTTATCTTGGGTTGCTGAATTAGGAATCCCGATACAATGTTATAGTGACATTATTTTTTGTTGTGAATACCAAAATTCGATATTATGGTAGGTATAACATGCATTAGCTATATTTTCACATATACTGTAAATCTTTTTACCGCTGGAAAATATTTCATTTTTGAAGAAAAATATAAGAACTGAAAAAAAATGTAAGCGTATACTAATATGTAAAACATAAGAATTTGGCTTTTGGTCACCTGAACGCGGGCGGAGCCGAGGGCAATGCTAGTTATATATATCAGTACCTGGGCCACCGAGCTTCGCGCGGAGTTTTTGGTTAAAAGTTAAAACGTACAATTTTCTTTAAAAAAAAAACTAAAAACTTGAATAAATACAAAAAAAAACAAAAATAATTATACCTTTGTATCCGACCGGGATTCGAAACCGGACACCTATGATTGTCAATCTTGCGTCTTTTTTTTTCTAATAACTTGAATAAATATAAAAAAAAAATTAAAAACTTTGTATGCGACCGAGATTCGAACCTGGACACCTGTGATTGTTGATCTTGCACCTTGGCCGCTTGACCACGACGCTTATTGCCGAGTGTGCAAATTACCGACATTTTGCGTGGAATGGCAAAAGAAAACTGCATGAAAACTCGAAAACACGCATTTTCTCAGACATAAGACTAATCTAGACCGATTTACCGCCCCCGAAACACCTGTGTACAAAATTTCATGAAAATCATTGGAGCCGTTTCCGAGATTCAGATTACAATAAAAAAAAATTCTTTTTATTCGCCAACAGATGTCAGAGAGAGTAATTTTTTTCAGTTTATGTTTAAGTGGCAACATCAGAACTACCCGAACGCCAACTTTTTATTATTTTTTCAATAAAAAAAATAAGTTTATGTTTTAGTTGATTATCAATAAAGTTGATTATTGAAAACACGAATAAAAAGACATTTTCTAAAAATACCTGGGCCACCGAGCTTCGCTCGGAGTTTTTGGCCACAAGTACAATTTTCTTTAAAAAAAAAACAAAAAAAAATTATACCTTTGTATTAGACCGGGATTCGAACAATTTATTACATTACACAATTTATATGATATAAAAGCTTGTAGCGAGATTTACCTGTTTTAAATGTTAATTATTTTTTTAATCTACACAGGTAAATGTATTTTAAGTGTGATTTTATACTTATATATATTATAGTTGGTCCGTCCGACCTAGTGTAGACCGTATTACCTCCCCCCCAACGTGCGTTCACCTTGTCGTGGTGGGGGGGCTCAGTAGTAGTAGCGAAGCTAAGAAACGCACAGGGAGGTTGCCCACTTCGGTGGGCGGTGGGAGGTGGCCCTCTTCGGGGGGCGGTGTATCATGTGGGTTGCTCCTGGTACTTCTCTGATAGCAGAGTGGACCTTGGAGCAACCCCATGGTTGTGGTGGTCTGCTTCGGCAGACCTGCCGTCGGGGCGTCGTAGTTGAATGCGTAAGCGATCCTGCGACGCCCCATTAAGACGGGGGAAGGTTTTGTTGGGTTTTAGTGGGTAGTACTGGCTGTATTACGCCGGTGAGTCCCACACGTCGTGCGTAAATGCATTTCCCAACGTTAAAAAAAAAAAAAAAAAGACCGTATTACCTACCTAAGTTATAAAAACTCTGTTGGTAAATAAACATTTTTTTCATTTGTTTAAGAGGATTCATGGTGCAAAAATCCCCAAATGAGCCGTTCCTGATCGCTGTCTCGTCCGGTGGTGTTGCCGTGTCATATTATACAAGCTCGTACGGTTTCTTAACCGTACGGCTAACATGCTGTACGGTTAAGTGTGGTAAGGTGTCGCGAATAACAGGCCTGACTCCGCGGAACGTTTCCAGCTCGCCTACCCATTCATTAAACGTTGGGAAATACATACGCATTACGCACGAGGTGTGGGACTCACCGGCAAAGCCAGTACTACCCACTAAAATTCAACAAAACCTTCCCCCGTCTTAATAGGGCGCACGCACGCACGCATTCAACTACGACGCCCCGACGGCAGGTCTGCCGAAGCAGACCACAACAACCATGGGGTTGCTCTTAGATCCATTCTGCTATAAGAAAAGTACCAGGAGCAACCCGCATGGTATACCGCCCACCGAAGAGGGCCACCTTCCACCGCCCACCGAAGTGGGCCACTTCCCCGTGCGTTTCTTGGCTTCGCGCCCGGCTGGATTGTATAGCATTTTCGTTGCTATGGACTCATGGAGTTTACAGAAAAGTAAAATGATTAGGGCCTCTACATGAAACAAAGTAGTTTTTAGGGTACTTTTGTTTTGTTCTATGGCAAAATCTATAAATACTATTAGTAATTACAGATTGGATTGATATTAGTAATTATAGAAAATATTGTCATTGTAAGTTAACATTATAGAATATAATGTACGCGCGTCTTTGTTGTGACTACTTAGTAATTTACTACTTACAATGACAATATTTTTATTTTCAATCATTATTTCTTAAAAAAAACTTATCATATTATTTATATAATTAAATAAAAATAATTAAAATTATCGAGAGAGTCAAAAATTATAATTATACGTTTTAAAGTTTTCTATAATGGTAAATTGCCACATGCAAATCTTGCGTTACCCCTAACCACCTTAAAAAAAATATTGCTACCTGTGTATATTATATGGTTTTTATAGTTATAAGTGAAATATGTTAAAAAGTTTATTAGTTATACTAGCGACTCACTCTCGCTCCGCTCGGGTTCGTCCCTACTTACGTTTTAACATTTACTATACATTTCTCAGAGATTAGATATTTTCTCGCAGTAAAAAGTATCTTATATGTTGACCCGTATAACCAGTTATCATCATAACAAATTTCATCAAAATCCCTCAAGTGGTTTTTGTGTGATGCGATATCAGACAGACAGACAGACAGATCGACAGACAAAAATTCTAAAAACTATAGATTCAGCCTTTGTATCGATAATAATATCTATTTCAATAAGATTTTCCAAAAAATATTTTATGTGCAGATTCGACTTAGTTACAATTTTATTATATGTATAGATAAACAATTCAGGACTTATACAATATAATGATTTTGTAATCACACATATAATTTAAATATTAATATTTCAATTAAATAATACAGCTAGATGTTTTATTAAATTCATTTAAATAAAAAAATATTTTTTTTTTTACGGAAAGCTACCTATTTCGATTAGTAAATAAGGAAATTTTGTAACACTCATTGGGCAATCTTTTTTGCCTGCAAATTGCTTTACTGTCATATCAAAGTAGTTGATAAAATACGCAAGGTTTGCCAATGTTAAACAGTTTCTTAGCTGAATTTGTAATCAAATCACAGAAATGATAGTTAAAAATTTGCCAATTCACGTGTTTAAAGTGTAACTTATTTTAAATTTTAGAGTGTTAGTGCTCAGAGCTAAGGAAATATAACCTTGGTCTGAAAATGGTAAGTATGTACTAGACAGTTGTACTTGTTTCACAGGCAATGTAGGATCGTATTCAGTAGAAAACTATTATGTATTAAAATTGAATCATATTATTAAAATATAATGATTTATGTATTTAAATTATGTATAATGTTTACATATTTGGTAAATATGATATATTTGTATAAGCTTATTTTCTTCAATTTCATAAAAACATTAACATTTATTTATATTTACAATTAAAAATAAAAGTCGAATTATAAACAATACAGTTATATTACATTATTTTTCAAAATGTTAAAAAGTAGTAATTATTAGGGTATCATTATTTAAATTATTAAAAATTTAGTATACTAATGCTTTTTATAATTATATTGAATTACTTTGTAGATATATTTTTAATTGCCTTTTATACATATTAAAGAACAGTTTTAAGTAAAATAAAATGTATATTAAAGAATATTAAATAGACTAAACTTAATTTAGTATGATTTTTTTTTAAGTCAAATTTATTATTGAAATTTATATACTATTGGTAATTGGTAAATAAGGTGAAACACAATATAAATAAGAATAATATGATTTTTATTCATATAAAATTAACATTATGATGTATTGGAAATTACAGAATATATTTTAAATATTTATATAATTGATTTATTTACTATTGTTTTATTTGCATCAATCATTTCATTATAGAACAATTACAAATCAAAAGAATTTGGATTCTGCTAACACAAACATGGAAAGTAATGTGATACTGTCAATAAAAAAACAATGAGTGCTCAAGGTGGATGTGTCGCTTGTAATGATGAGTCTGAACATTTTGATGCCAAACATGATGGTGATTGTTCTGAAGGGGAAGATGCTCAAATTCGTCTGGCACCACATGTGCAGGCATACTTGGCACACAACAACCCCACTACTAACTGTTGTGGATTTGCTATACCTATTGCATTCGAAAGAGCTGCTTCTGGTACATGGTGGAATCCACGATTTGATTCAAAAATATTGGAAGGACAGTATAGAAGTAGCTCTTTTAGACAGATAAGATTAAGATTCAGGTAAGAATTTATGACTTTTATAATTATTATATACAATACATTCAATTGTGGTCATACAATTGGAAAGATTCTATTACTTATGTACTTAGTCAGTAATATCTATAATAATATTAATTATTTTTATGCTAAACATTACAAAACAGTAAAAAAAATAATAGATTTTTAAAATCTTGTGTAGAATTGGCATTGTAATTATATTAGCCCATGGACATATAATTAAGAATAGTTATTGAACTTCCATTCATAATACTTAAAAAATAATTATTCTACTTGTATATTTTACAATCCTATACATATATTGTTGATATAAAAGTGTAAAATAATATGTTATAAGAAGAGGCCTTAATTTCCAGTAATAGGGAGATTAGAATTAATTACAAACAGAAAGATTGTTTATATTACATTATTACTCAATTCGACAGAAGTGTCACATAGTAATAGATATCGTAAATCGTTTATTATTTGTGTTTCCATCTAATTACCACATTTCCTCGCAAAATAAATATATTTTACCTGTACTGTAAAACATTTTTGACTATAAATGTAGATATTATGCTTGTTCTGTGAGTATTTTCCCTTGTCATGTTTTATGATCCTTTGGAGGGTTAAATGTTATGATATTTATCCTACTAGAGTAGTCGCAACATATCTTTTTTACCATATTTTAAAATAAATTGTGAAAATGATAGAATGAATGTTAAAATAAAGAAAATTAAAAAATATATGACTAAAGGTGCATTGAAATTATAAAGCATACAAGTTACATTCTTAATTAAAATGTGTAAAATTTTTATTTTTCCATTCTTAATAATTATCCTTTCTGTGGCCGACATAGTAAAAATTTTGTTTTAATTTAAGAAGTACATAATATATAGGTATCAGTATAAACATGAAATTCCCAATATTTTAATACTATTCAAATGGATATCTGTGCATAAATACATAAGTAATAGTATAATTTTTACTTCCCAATTATATGACCACAACTATGTAAGTATCTATATCAATTTTGTTAGTTTGCTACTGGCATCATCTGTTCAATAGCTTTAGACACAATTTTAAATATTTTGAATATCTTGTTGTATTATCTGTTGTTATTTCCTTTTTCAGATTTGCACTTTTGTACATTTTGATATTTTCTATATCATGGTTCATCTACTTTGTGGTCCTTGGCTTAAATGGTGTGACTGTGAAATGGCAGTTTTTGTGTTCTATATTTGCTGGTGTTCTTCTTATAACAAGTGTTATGTTGTTTGTTACCTTTACAAATGTTTACAAAGTGTACACCTCCAGGCTGTCCTTAATCATGGCACTTGCTCTGTGTACTCTAAGCCTTTCTTTAGTAACATTGACCACACAACTTGAAGATGATTTTTCCCAAGCAGCTGATATTAGTCAATCGGGACATTTTACTATGTGTATTGAAATCCTATTGATTATTTATACTCTGACGCCATTACCTCTATTTGTCTGTGTTGTCATTGGACTAATGTATTCCATGGTGTTTGAAGTGTTAAATATTGTTTTGCATATATCCGAACAAGAATGGCAATACCCTGGAATGTTTGTAAGGGTCTTACTCCAATTATGTGTACATATAATTGGTGTACATATTTATCTAATGACATTTGTTAGAATGCGTGGCACGTTTATGAAAGTAGGTCAGAGTTTACTTGTGAGAAGGCAGTTAGAAATGGAAAAGCAATTAAAAGAAAAAATGATCCATTCTGTAATGCCACCAAAACTCGCGAGCTGGTTAATGGAAGAACAAGTTTTAGAATCGGATACAACTTTTAAAACACACGATCCTTTAAATCCCCGAGCTTCAAACCCTGGGGCGTCAGATATAAAATCACTATTCAGACCTTTTAATATGAGCTCTATGGATAATGTGAGCATTCTTTTCGCGGATATTGTTGGTTTTACGAGAATGTCTAGTAACAAAGGGGCCGAGGAATTAGTTAATATATTGAATGATTTGTTTGAAAAGTTCGATGATTTATGTTTGGTGCACGGCTGCGAAAAAATTTCAACATTAGGCGATTGCTATTACTGTGTATCCGGCTGTCCAGAACCTAGGCCTGATCATGCGACTTGCTGCGTGGAAATGGGACTCGGTAAGTATGTGTATATTATGTGTTTGTGATTGTGTATGTATAATAATTTTTCAATTATTTTATATTAACTTGCTTTGCTCGGGTACACTTCTAGGAAAACAAAAGCAAACCTATCCCACGGGAACTGTACATTTTTTCGGCATAAAAAGTATGTGTTCTTTCAGACTATCCATCTCTATGCCAAATTTCATCCAGATCCGTTCAGCCGTTCTGTCGTGAAAAAGTAACAAACATCTATACATACTCACAAACTTCCACATGTATAATATTATAATATATAAAAATATATAAATACGGACTATTAGAAACTAATCGTGACCTTACATTACATGGGACACAAGTCGATCTATTGAAAATTATTAGGTATTATGCTCTATTGTTTAGTAAATGAAAAAACAAAATAATTAAACTAAATTATAGAGGTATTTAGAATAAACATATATACTATGACGAATCGATACTTATGTCTTGTGTTAGAGTTTGTATCGACGACTCGACTTTGCTTATATGTTAAAATACTAAGTAACAAAAGTATCCATATAGTAAATATTTTAGGTATGATCGACGCGATACAAGAATTTGATAGAGAACGTAATGAAGGGGTAAATATGAGAGTGGGTGTACATACAGGAACAGTTTTGTGTGGTATCGTTGGTACACGAAGATTCAAATTCGACGTCTGGAGTAACGACGTGACGTTCGCAAATAAAATGGAATCCACAGGAAAGCCTGGACGTGTTCACATTTCTGAAGAAACTAGTAAATTTCTCGGAGGTTCTTATGTGCTAGAAGAGGGTGAAGAAGTTTTCGGTAAGGAAATATCCATACACTCGCATGCTTTGTATTTAGCTATTTTTTTTTATTAATGTGTCAACCCTTAAATGTCCAGGTCATAAAACCTACTTCATAGAAAGTCGACAAATGAGTTCTCCATACGACCACGAAAAGTGTATCACTCCCTCCAATCCAGTCAACCTCCGGCTTATTATATCTCCCGCAGTGTCCCCTCAATCTGTTTTATCTTTTAATCACTCTACTGCACCAGTGAAGCTTAGTGAATATGATGAAAAGCACAATAGGAAAAACGATGTTAAAAATTCCAACAATTTTTTATCTCCGAGCCATTTCAATTTTCGTAATAAAGCAAGTTCATTGCCAAGTATATTGGATTCTGATACTGAAATAGACGAAAAGAAAGGCTTCCCGGAAAGGAGTGACAATTCATCTAAAAGTCCCACATCCGTTGGTAAGTTTTTTTTTTAAGTTTAAAAACGCATGCTTTTAATGTTTTATTTTATTATAGTGATTTCGTTTAAAAACTATAATTATTTAGAATGGAAAAAATAATCGCTTAACTACAAAAATTAATGGCAGTTTACCATTAGATACTTGCTAACAATAATCGTTATATGTTATATATGATATTGCTTATTTAAGAAATACCTATAAAAATTCTAGAGTTAGCCGACTTATTACTACATGGACTTATTTCAAATATTTTACTACTTAAAATGATTAGAATTTTTAATATATAAGAATTATAATTAATGTCTATCGCAACTCGTACATAATTGGGAGGATAATGTATCACTGCAGCGGATAACGCTACTGGTTTTTGTTGTCATAAATTAATTGTTCATAATATGTACCTAAATAAACTAAACCACAGTTTTATTGAATAAAAGTCGCACTTATCAGTACAAGGCACAACTCGCAGATAAGATATCAAGACTCTTAATTACTCGAAGCTGATGCTCTCTGAACATCACGCCACAGTAAATACTTTAAAATAAGAAATGTAACGCAATATGTTAGCTTGATACTTTATTTTGTCTAGGTCATTCTTGTTTCTAAAACCGGCTAAGTAAGTGTTGAATGTGAAATGGATTTTTATAGTTTTTATACGTAAAATTGATTATACAACAACTCGTATATGTTACTGCACATATTATGCTAAGAGATTTGTAAAAAATATATATTGAATAATAAATAAAGGTCACATGTAGAGGCAAACGTATTTATTTTATGTTTTCAATTATCGAATTATTATAATATTAACATAGAGGAAATTAATAATAATAATATAATAATATGTTGGGATATTATATATAATATAATTATATATAATTATTAATTTATATTATTATCACAATCACAATGATCTTTAGATGATTGGTCATAATAACCTTGAACTATAACGTTCCCAGTGTCTTCCAGCTGTTTCATATGATCCGATAAAGATTCTTTCTATATACCAATAATGTTTGATATAACGCATGGGAATTGGGAACGTGTCAATTTCGTTATCATTTTTTTTTATTTTTATTTACAAGACAAAAGTTGTGTGTTCATTTTACGGTATTCAAGATTACATCAAGTAATGCATCTGAGAGAGATAAAGTAGGAAAAATGCAAAATTATATATATACCTATATCTTTTTTTATGAAAAGTACTCGTGAATGTATATATTTAAATTGTCAAAGTAATTTTATATAAATTTCACTGTTGTGCCCATCATCGCTTACATTTTACACTGTTATTATTTTATTTACAAAAACATATTGGAATCATTTCCAACGAGATTGTTATATTTAACGTGGATTCTACGTGTTATTCTTACGCTCTATTTAGCGGCGTCAAAATACTTCATAAGCATTATAGATCCAGTAACACTCGCATGCTAAGTGATTGTTCGATAAATAGTTTACTCAAACAATATCTAGTGTCCACTCATGACTTGTGACGAATAAGATAAACAACAAGTAGTTTTGAAGACGATGCGAATTATATTAAATACGTAATAAATAATAATACTTACTTTCTAATTTTAGTAAAAATATAATGTTTTATGAATTTAATATCAAAATAGTGATAAAATCCCTGAAATATAGTTTTAATTAAAAAAAACGTTTTGGGTGTAATAAATGATAATGCTGATGCTTTGTGAGAAATACTTAAAAATCCTCATAGGTATTGCTGGTCGCGTGAACTTGTCGTGATTGCGATTAAAAATATTTTTTGTATATTAGGTATAATATCTATTGAGAATGATGAACTAATCTGTGTAACATTCATATTTAAATTGAGAGTATCACTGTATATACTAATAGATAAAATATAAATCGCGAAGAACCACATATTTAATAAAATTATCTTTTCGGATTTTTTCGCGGATTTATTTGGATTTTTGGTTCCCGACGTTTCGAATGATTTACAGCAATCATGGTCATGGGAGAGACTGAGGTGTTAGATATCTCGAAGATATAGTTGTTACAGACAGCCTATCTAGTAGGGGTAGCGTAGTAGTGGAGTAGAAAAAATCCGAAAAGATAGTTTTATTTAAAATGTCAAATATTCGCGTAAATCTAAGAAAGTATTATAAGAACCACATAATTATAATTATTTATATGAATTTCCTCGCAAATTAACTAGGTAACAGGTGAATGTATGAATTTCAGGAAGCTGCGGCAAATACACTAACAAACTAAAAAACTGGAAAGTTCCTAGATTTTTAAGGAAGCACTCAGATACGCCATTGCACGAAATTAAAAAGCGTGATTTGAGCGATAAAACAATTCATTTTGTGGAAAGGGGGGAGGATATTGTTGTATCGAATAACGGCTATCACCAAGTGCCTATAGTGATAGAATCTCAGGAGAATAAGCCCAGACCACTACAGAGTAGCAGTAAGCTAAATATCCCTAATAATCACGAAATGGTATCTTTTGAAAGAGAAATAATAGATATCCGCTCGTATTTGAGTCAATCTAGAAGTAATATGTCGCCATTTGCTAGAAGTAGCAGCTATAGATCTCAGTACGGCAGACCAAATATAGAGGTTAGTATGGAACATTTAGTTAGTCGACTAAAACGATGTGTACAAGAAAAATGAGGTATTTTTCAAACGTTCAGTTTAAAATAGTATTTTTATGATAGCCTCATAGTGTACATTATATTTTATCATAGTTTGTTCAGTTTCTTACGAAACACTAGCAAAATCTAATATTAACGCTCTGTAATGCCGATATCGAATCTCATAGCTAGAAGTGCTCGTAGATCAATCCATAATCTTCTTAACCTGTTTACGTCTGCATAGTTATTTATTTTTGTTATAAATCATAGAACACGCGTCGATTACTGCACCTAAAACACGCTATAAATTAGGAATAGATTTTATAATTATACTTTAAAAAAAATCTCTCTTTTGATGACTAGCTATAATATATGAGATTCGTAAAAAGGAGTCAAATGAGCCCAAACCAGAAGATTTTACTAGTATTTTTACCGTTTAATATTATACCGGTGATTTTATATTATTGTGTGGTCATTGTAAATTCACATACTAAGTTTCAAATTTGCAATTCCAAGAAGGTTGAAAATCGAAATTGAGTTACATGAACTTTTGATTACATAAATAGCTACAATACCTCATTATAACTTGTTAAAAAATAATCTATCCTACATAGATATGTTACGATAGATTTGATTAGAAATTGACTTTATAAATAAAACTAATTTTTACCATTTTGTATGTGTGTTTTTTTGATTTCTTTTGTTTATTTAGTGCTTGTGACGTTTCGAACGAAATCCGAAAAAAATAATCTTATATTTGACATTGATACAATTTCAAGACAAGATATCTTTACTAGATTACTTAAGAGAAAATATAATATAATCCAGGTACCAGTATGTAGAGCCCGTAGTTCGACACTAACAACACAAGCGGACATAATCCGCCCTAAGGACCGCAAACTGAACCTCCCTCTGCCGGCGCGCCCTCCCGATGACATCATCAGCCTCTGTCCCTCAGTGAACAGCCGAAAGGACTCGGGCATCAGGAGTACCAGCCGGAGGTCGAGTATTCAACAACAGGTAAATAAATACCATTCATTCAAATATTCTTTATTGCACACCAAAAAACTAACATGACATATTAGTTATATTACTGACATAAATAGCACAATAGTGAGCGAGTAATACTAAGTGAGCGATCTCTTCCAGGCAACCTTTGGGCAGAGAGAAAGAAAAAAAAGATTGGGAAGGGGTGCATTGAAAAGTTTTACAGAGTATATATATACAAATAATATACACACGACTACATACAAATATATATACATACATATATACATACATACATAAACACATATATACCGGTAGGAATACCAATACATACTATACACATAAAATATGATACTAAGCAGATTACAAGTTAAAATACTGTTAATTTTTGAAACAAAAAAAAACCCTAATAATAAAATCAAAACTCCAACGGACAAAAAGCTTGTGATGTTTAACATTGTCTATAATGCCGTAATAAATAAAAAAAATAAGCAGAAATCATCTAGCTAGATCGTTTTACTTTTCAATTACAAATATAATTGGTTATTCTACTACATTTCCGTCTTTGATATCACAATATTGTAAAAATTCAGCTCTTTTTTAACGTCCCACTGCTGCGTACGGGTCTTCCTTCAGTACAAGGACACCACACTAGCTAACTGGACTTCATACGTTTTTCTCAAATTTGTTAGGTTTTCTCTAACATACAGGTTTTCTCACGATATTTCACTTCACCGTTAGGCGAGTGGTAATCATATTAGAAATGATTAGCACATGAGAATTAGCACAGTACGAGACCCGGGATTTGAACCCGTATCACTTATTATTCCAAGCAAGCGTTACTGCCTTTTCTATGTTGTAAAATATAAGTCAAAGTGTGTGTTTATACGTATATGATTTCTTCACGCTGGATTTCTTCTACGAGGACTCAACGTAATTAGGTATAATTAGGAATGGTGATAGTCTATATTCTGCATTATTATTAAGCCTACTTTTGATCTACATTTGTACCTATAATGGCGTAGTCGATAGCAAAAACTTTTTAAAGATATGTAGCGAAACTTCATCAACGTATATTACTTACGTCCTAGCTTGATTCCCCATAAAATCTTTCATCCCCATTTTCACTCCCTTAAGCGATGATTTCCGGAATAAAAAGTATCCTATGTCCTTCCCAGGCTCTCTAACTTATCTTCTTACCAAATTTCATCTAAATCGGTTCAATAGATCCATAGATTACCCCTTACAACGTCACAAACTCACAAACTTTACTTCTTTATAATATTAGTATAGATATTTTAATTGTAATAGAAAAGCTTTTGTACAGCGTGTATTATGATCTCAGTATATACTTACTTCTAAATAAAACATGCAATGTGAGCTGCTATTAAGGAAATGGAAGTTAACCTAATGGGCTATGCTGATAGAATTTATAAATTTCGCATGTTTCTCATTTATTTAAAAGACGTCTGTTTAAGTAGCGACGTCCTTTGATCTGTAAAGAATATCCACGTGGGCGTGATTTCCTTTAAACACACACGTGTTATTACTTTCATTTTGCATATAAAATGTTCAGATGATGCAAATTGCGTCGCTAAAATATTTTAGACAAGAAAAAATTGCTCATTCTGCATCGTAAACACTGATCACGTTTTATATTTAGATATGTAAACACTGCCTCAATGTCAGTCATCGGTGTTTTAGTTACACGGTGTTTTATATTTAATTCCAGATATTCGCACTCAACCATGCTTTGGGAACATCTCAAGCAGATATGATGCAGCATCGAGTGTCCGGTTACTATACGTCGAGTCAGTCATCTGTTAACGAAATACCGTCTAGAATTAGATTACCGCCACCCTTAAATGAAGAGCAGGTCCAGTCACTCCAAAAACTAAGGAAACAATCTGATCTGCAACTAATAAGATGCGTTCAAGATAACGCTCGATCTGGAGTAAATTATTTCGTGCAGCCACCTCTAAATAGATTCACGTTATTTTTTAAAATACCGGAAATGGAACAACATTATAGGGATAAAGCGCATAGAAGTGACGACTGCGAAGATTTCCCGCCCACTCTAACGACTTCGCGATTTAACACGGCTTTGGACATTCTCGTATCGGCCGTCATATTTCTAGCTGTTTCCACTTCGATATTGATTCTGTACAACGAATGGCGTTATACAATAGGGTGGTTCATATTTTTTATCTTCATAGAGGCACTTGCTATGTCGCTTTGTGTGTACAGACATTATTTAAAGTGGAAAACGAAACGCGACCCACTAGATCTGACCGACTCTATGAGAAGATCTGTGAAGATATTCAGGAAACTTTCAGATTGGTACCCCTGGCACTTGTCTGGAAGTTTGTTAATTAGTTTACCTATATTAGCTGTTCTCATAAACTTTTCTTGCCAAAACACAACAATGACAATTCTCAAGGGAGATCAATCGTTTTATGTATACCTATTTTATGTAAGTGTTGTACACTTTTGTAATTTCACTCAAATGAGTTGGCTGGTAAAGAATTCTCTGGTCACAATATACGCTGGCCTCTTCCTCTTTTTTGCTGTTTTCGGATGCCATGAAGCCAACACTCTACTGTTAGATCGTGATATTAGATTAAATCCACAAGTGTTTGCTCAAAATATATCTATATTCGATATGGGTAATTTTACTTTTGAAGATTTTAGTAAAAACGCTACAAACGCTTTCGACGGTGCGCATCATAAAATGCATTTGATCGAGTTATATTTAGACGTCGCGTTACTGCTGATGTTAGTATGGTTTCTTAATAGAGAATTTGAAATAAGTTATAGGCTCAGTTTCTATAGCAACGTCGTCGCCAATCGCGATAAGCAAAGAGTCCAAAACATGAGAAATCAGGCTGATTGGTTGTTACATAACATCATACCACGCCATGTGGCTGATCAGTTAAAAAACACAGCGAAATACTCAGAGAATCACAAAGACGTCGCCATTATATTTGCAAGTATCGTCAATTTTAATGAAATGTATGACGAGTCGTATCTAAAGGGTAAAGAGTATTTGAGAGTTTTAAACGAGCTGATAGCGGATTTCGACGAGTTATTAGAAAGGCCGGAATTTCAACATGTTGAGAAAATTAAAACTATCGGTAGTACATTCATGGCGGCGAGTGGCCTCAACCCTGATTTGAGGCACTCTTCGCGCGGCACTTACGACCATTTGTATCAGCTAATGGATTTTGCATTAGAGATGCAAAAGGTGGTTGATAATTTTAATCAGGACTTGCTCGAATTCGATTTTATTCTCCGCATCGGTTATAATTATGGTGACGTCACAGCCGGTGTTATAGGTACGACTAAATTGTATTACGATATTTGGGGTGATGCTGTGAATATTGCCTCTAGGATGGATTCTACGGGAGTGGTCAAGCGAATCCAGGTAGGCGAGGCGTGTATACCTGTTCTGTCCGCCAAGTACGAGTTCGAGCCGCGCGGCAGTGTGTACGTAAAAGGCAAAGATAACATGAACGTTTATCTCGTTGTAGCCAAGAACGATGTATAATAAATAATTAATCGACGAAAAGTAGAATCTGTGATTTAACTATTTATATTTATACTGTAATAATGTATTGATACGTTGTGAAGAGAAATGAAACGTAATTGTATTTATTGTGTGTTATTGGGCGTTACCGCTTGTAAGTAATACTCTGGATGTAAATCCTAATAATTTATTGTTGAGCTTTACTGTGACTATTGCCATTGTCTACTGATCCATACAGTCGTCTAACGAAGGCATCTAGGTAGGGCGGAAACGGGTGAGGGCCTCACTCAATTCCAGGGGCGGATCTATATATATAGAATTTTTGGGCTACAGCCCAGGGCCCCTATAGATGTAACGGGCCCCCTATTGAATGGAATGAATAATATTATGAATTTTTAAAATAAAAAATCTATCGAGACTCGAACAATATCGATCTTAATTTCGTCTAGTACTATCTATAATTGTAGATTATATAAGACAAATTTACAATTAGTATAGGCCCCCAAGAACTGTTAGCCCGCGGCCCCCAAATTCACGGTCCGCCCCTGGATAGGCGTACCCGACTGTCATACTTAGTTTTATATGACAGTCGGGAAACGACTTCAGGGTTGACGGGATTGTAACTTGCCACGAGATGGCGCTGTTTTAACTTCGACACCGTTCGCCATCAAAATTGATATTTTTGACATCAATTAATTTCATTTGATAGCATATCTCATAAATTAATAGGCGATATGTGATGCGGTATGGATATTTATACTGTGATTTATTGACTCTACGACTAATTACTATGAAAGTGTACTTTGATGCTCCTTGCCGGTATGGGACTAAACGAACCATTCGAATGACGCAAGCGTCGTTATTTTAGATTTAACAATAATATACTAAAAGAATCTTTGATTCACAAATCTGTGACCATTACTCTAGTCTGCAATTTATTCGGTATGAATAATCCAATTGTCTGTTATACAAGTTGATTTGAACTTGAACTGGACTTCACAAAAGTGTACCGAATTTTACTTTTGAATGAAAAGTTCTTATATGTTTTAATGTTTTTATTTATTAATTATAACATATAAAGACTAATATTTTTATTATATTAGTATATTAATATTTGAGGGATTTTTTTAATATAATAAGGAATTTGATAAGATTTAAATAACTAATATTGTTAAGCCTATTTTCTTTTTGACGCAACTATGGCTGCTATAATTTAATTAAAACGTTTTTGCTATTATTATTTTTGTAATTGTATATATTTGTAGTGTATATTTAATCATTTAGATTCAACTAAAAAAAAAAGATAATCATCACCTTTTATAACAGACATATTGGATTATACCGAGTATTGTGATTTGTAAATATGCGAATATTCAATTTTATTGTGCTCTAAAACTATTTATAAAACATACACATATTATATTATATTTTGTAAGTTAAATATTTTTGTTTATAATTGGCGTTATGCTTAAACGTATTTAATTGAAAATAATACTAATATGATCAAGAAAGGCGTCAAAAATGTTTATGTACTGTCATAAATTTCTGTATTATGTATTACTAAATCGATTCACATAAGCTTTAAATATTACATGGGTTCTAATATTTTATATAATAATAATATGTACAAAATGATTGTAATTTTTCAACGTTTGTTAAAATTGACATTTATTTTAAAAGAACCCAATAATTTTCAAATTTTTATAACAAGGATATGAATTCTAAAAACTAAGACTAGACAATTCTTTTCTAAGACTTAATAGAGAAATTAAGAAAGTATATTTATTTAATTGAATTTCCTAGATAAAAATTTACTTACATGTATGTATGTATGTATATACGAGATAAATGTATACATATTGTAATTGGAGTTATCAGACTAACAAATCTAACGTGTAGCTAAATGAATTATTAATAACAAAATGAGTGCGTGTAACCTTTACGCGTGCTTGAAGTAAAAACTTCTTTAGAGCTCTGGCAGATACCGCGATTAAATTAAAACAAAATATAAATATAATCATTTTTTTATAAAATTATCACTAATAAATATTATTTTTTTATAAATAATAATTATTATAAAATTATTGATAATAAAGGATCTCATTTCCGCGACATTTATTTTTCCAATATATTGACTTACTTCTCAGTCACGTCTAAAGAAGTTTTACTTCAAAAGAAGTGTAACAACATAATAATTATAAACATTTTATAGAACTTACTGTTACCTACTTTGCCCCGTTAATAATAATGTTTGTAAATAATGATGCGTATAGATTTTTGAACATATTTCAATTATTTTATACCTTCGATGCTGATCACTCTATTACACATATATTTGAAGGGGTTTGTTCCTCACTTTGCTTTAATATTTAATAGCATTTCGCTACCAATAAAGTTAATATTTTACAAAGCCTCTAAACGAGTGTGGTGGGTTTTGTAATAAAATAATATATCGCCATTGAAATTTTTAAAAGATTAATATGTATAATTTAAATTATTGTAAAATTAAGTCTTCATAATTATTATAATTGTTAATTTATACAATAAATTATTTGACGAATTGACAGATCTTCAAACTTATGATAAAAGCCTTACTAAACATTCCACTATTTACATTTGAATATCTCCATGTTTGTGCTAAGAAATACAAAATATGTATGTTATCTGTAAGGAAACTCTTCGAGCTACTGTTTCGCCTTTTCCGAATTGTAACATCGAGAAAGTAGTTATTGCTTCTATAGATTTGTTAGTATTTATGGTATTTAAACTATTAATTATATTTCGAGCTTTGGTAATTTGTGTCTATATATGTAGGTATATGAAAAAAAAAAAGATTTATGGAGAGAACGTAACAAAGCCTTATATGAAAATCGCTTGTTTAGACTAATATAGAAATAAAATTAACGATTTTCTTGAACTTACGGTATGTACGCTAATATTGGTTTAGTTAGTGTACAAAATTTGTAGTACATTGTAAGTGGATTACATTGTAACTGTAGAAGATTTTCTTAATAAAGTCTCAAAAGAAAAATAAAAACTATTAAAATTACCATTGCTCGATAATCTAATGGCAAATGTTTGAGCGAATGTAAACAAAATATACAGTTTACAGAATGTTGGACCAAAACTGAAATACCTTAAGGGTTTCTACTTAGCTCTCTTTACAATCTATGTTAAATGTTTGCGATCATGGTAGCTGTTCAAGTCTGGAACTCGACTTACTGTAGTGCTATTTATATGAACTGCTATGATTATGTATATATTTTCCATTGTACCAACTTTATATTTTTCAAACACTAAAACGATATAAATATATAATACGTGTGAATAAACAAAGATATTATTTATTTGTAGTAATTTTATTTTTTTGTACCTTCACTTGTAGTAATCTCATCGTTCGATATTTATGCTCGTTTAGACGAGGATAATGGAAACGCGGTTATTAAGGATTTTAATAAATGTAGTTTTCTTTTTATTGTGACGCATTCGCCCTGCGATATTCAACAGTTCGAGCTGGAAAAAGACCGATTTTGTCAACGGGTCGGGGTAGTTCGTATGTGAACTCTGTAAACATGTCACACACGTACACACCGACACTATGTATTAGAGTAGATACTAGATTATCTATCGTTGCGCGTGTCCCGTTTTATGAAGCTTAATTTATGTAGTGCTACTTGTGTGCATAAGCAACGATCAGAAAAGTAGTAAATTATAATAAACGTAAGCGATTTTTCGTGATCATGTAACGACCGTCTGTTAAAATATCTAAAAAATGGCTGCCGCAATGTTCCATTTGCTGTGCATGAGCACAATATGTTACACGTAACACTTTAATAATCATCATCTCCCTGCCCATTTCCCAATTACTTGGGGTCGGCGCTGTACGTCTTCCGTATGTAAACGTACATAATAATATACTTTAATAATAATATAAATTAAAATTATATAAAAATGGGATTTATATGTATAATTGTGATAATTATTTTATAAGTTGCCAGTCTATACATATAATAAAATTTTAACTGATCGGTGTCTGTACATGGAAGATATTTTAAGAAAACTATAATTGGGGGTATTTTTTAATTCAATAGAACCTAAAGAAATATTTTTTTGGATTTTTGTCTGTTTGTCTGTGCGTTTGTGCGCGCTAATTTCAGAAATGGCTTAACCGATTTGGGTGCGGTTTTCATTAATGTATTGTGGTAAGCTTCACTTACATTTAGTATTGTTTTATTTTAATCAGTTCATAAATAAAAAAAAACTATGTCAATTTAAAGAAACACCTAAGGGACGAACCCGAGCGAAGCGAGGGTGAATCGCTAATAATAAATTAAAAATGGCACGTCTGAAGCATGCTTTATTAATTCTAAGACATTTATTTGGTAATAAATAAAATACTTTTTGATTTTTTTTAAGTTGTCATCTTGAGGGGAAAAAGAGCGGGAAAAAGTAGTGTTTTGTTTGTTTTATAAATTAATGAAATACGTCATTCCTTTTCGTAATGTTTGAGGCGCTCTGAATCTGTAAAAAATGTGTACCTTTTAAATAAAACTATTTTTTCGGATTTTGTCGCGGATTTATTTGCATTTTTGTTTCCCGACGTTTCGAATGCTTTACAGCATCCATGGTCACGGGAGAGACTCCCCCGTCTCTCCCGTGACCATGGATGCTGTAAAGCATTCGAAACGTCGGGAAACAAAAATGCAAATAAATCCGCGACAAAATCCGAAAAAATAGTTTTATTTAAAATGTCAAATATTCGCGTAAATCTAAGAAAGTATTAAATGTGTACCTATAATCTACATATTGTTGCACGTTTAGATGAAGCTTTGTCTCTGTATATATATACGCATGTGGTAAAAGTGCTATCATTCTCGTTTTGAAACGCCGCTTTTATATTCTGTCAACCTTGTTTAAATCTCTTATAGCCTCCTCTTAATATTGAAACGAAGGTTTTTATATTTACATGAATTCAAGTTATCATAATAGATAGAAAAATATATGTACCTACCTATATTATATAATTTTGTATTTTTTCCTCGGTCAAAGTCTTTCAAATTGGACAGAAACCGGAAGGGATCGCCAAATTTAAACGGACAGAAAAGAGATGCGGCTGTTATGATTTATATAAGTATATACCTGTGGTTTCTTTATTAATCTCATATCTAATTTAGCATTTAATTGGCAAATATAGTATCGGATTCGGGCCCTATTAGTTATTACCCTACTAGTAGGCTCAAGCTTTTAATTTCTTGGTAATGTCTTGGGAAATTTACAAATAGCGTTTGGCGACGCATAATATGACTAAAAATATATGGATAAATGCAAGCATACCATGAGTAGCGGTTACCGACGAATATTTCCTAGCTAATCAGTTGAGCTCTATACCATCACTTTCCAAGCAATATTAAGATAAGAATATCTTTTTATTCAGATGCTGGTCGCAACGGCGATCATAAAACCTCGTGGCTTGCAAACCACGCCCTATGAATTGCCTCTACACAGCAAACCGCAATAATTCTCGTTGCCGGTTCCCATGAACAGACCCTAGCCCCTAGGTAGGTTATATAAGTGATGGCAACGTCGCCGAATGGGTTAGAGGAATAAGTAAACAGTATTCATTAATCTTTTTTATTTAACTTAATAATTATTACAAACAACATATTATTTAAATATTAAATATTGCTTTTAAAAATAAATAACGGTGAGCGAGTTTGACTCGCACTTTGCCGGTTTTTACAACCATTATTGTTCGTAATATAACTAGAATTTTAGGAGCCCTTCGTGTAATTTACAGCATAAAATATACAGGGTCATTTTTAATTTACTGAAAACCTTTTGGGATTATACTATTTACATCATAACAACATCTGTAACAAGAAAAAATTATATTTCTTAAATTTTTATTTTCATACAAAAATAAAAACATTTTTTGCACCTTCTAAACTATAAAGTTCTAGCATCTGGCCAAGTTAAATGAGTAAGCGCGGCTTCCTACATCTCTCCACTCCTCCCCCTCCACCAGATACGCACTTTATTTTGCTAATGCTGGACTATTACCGTTGAGAAGGTGCAATAAAAATATTTTTTTTTGTTAAATTTAAGATATATATTTTTTTTCTTACAGTTGTTATGTTGTATTCCCAAAAGGTTTTCAGTAAATTAAAAATTACCCTGTATAGGTACACTTAATGTTTATAATCTCAGAGAATTGTCATTGGTGAAAAGATCAAAAAATGTTACAAAATAATTATAATACTCTCTTTCTAACACTTATTTACGTAGGTATATATTACTTACTACACACATCTATTTCTACTACAGTTCACGAAATATTTTAGTAGGTTTTTAAATTCTTATAAGCTATAAACATTTTCTTTTTTTTAATCAATAACAGGACGAGAAATAATCTAGAATCTAGATAATATTTAAAAATACATAATATTTTTAAATGTGACTTTCTATATTATAGATAGCTACATTTTTTGTCGATATAAAAATCAATTATCGGTCCGTTTGTCTGTATCATATGAATAGCTGTAAATTTTAGGTATTTGCCCGATTGCGATGAAAATGTGGTGCCTGCAGATTCGCGAAGGTTTTCGAAATAGTAGCATCTATCGACTATCAACTTTTATAGTGTGCGAGATGTATCGAACAATTTAACATAAAATATTAGCTTCAAAAAAATATTAGCTAATTTCACTTCTACAGCCTCTAAACTTTTTTTATAATTTTACATCCAACAAATGGGCGGGTCCAAGGTCGTTGGTTATTTATATATTAACTAGCGGCTCACCCTCACTTCTCTCAGGTTCGTCGCTGAGTACGTTTTAAATAGATGTATAAATACTTATTAGCCAGCCATGTAATTTTTTTTGTGAATTTTTCCGATGATTAATAGTTATTCGAGGCGGAGAAAAATCCAACAAATCAAAAACATTAAAAATCGGTCCAGCAATTTTCGATTTATAAGTGTTGTAAACCCGACTTTGTTTTATATACATATACACATAGATAACATCAAATACGTATATAGTTTTAATTTAATGAGAAAGTGTATTAATGGGATTGTCGCTCCATGCAAAGGCGTCATTGGAGAACGCGTATACCATCCAGTAGAATAGGTTGAGCAACGCGAAGGACGCCGGGAACAGGATGCGAGCGGCTTTATCGATATGAGATACGCTGTTGATGTGCCCACGATTACCTGATAATAGAAATTCAATATTTTTTACTATACATTTATTGTTATTATTCGCGATCATGGGTCAAGGTGGCTGTGTTCACTGAGATTAGCTAACTGCTCAGGAGATATTATGATTTATTATAGATTATATTTTATAGACATTAGTGTGCAAATATTTTCGCAGACACAGGTGCACTCTTTGTTCCTTCATTCTCAAAGTCCGAGTCAGACAACATATATTTCATTCTAGACTCTGATGGCTTGAGAGATGTCTTGAAAGATGGCTTAAAAGAAATTATTTAGAAAAATCGTTACAACTAAACTTTTAAAGATTTTAAAGTTTATATTACATTAATACGTATATAACTACATATCACATCACATTATTAATATTATAAATACGAAAATTTGTATGCGTTTGCTTGTGTGTTTTTTACTCCTTCACGTTGAAACGGCTGGACGGATTTGGAAGAAGTACACCGGTAGACTATAACCTTTTTTTTTAACGTTGGGAAATGCATTTACGCACGAGGTGTGGGACTCACCGGCAAAGCCAGTACTACCCACTAAACCCCAACAAAGCCTTCCCCCGTCTTAATGGGGCGTCGCAGGACCGCTTACGCATTCAACTACGACGCCCCAACGGCAGGTCTTCCGCAGCAGACCACAACAACCACGGGGTTGCTCCAAGGTCCACTCTGCTATCAGAGAAGTACCAGGAGCAACCCGCATGGTACACCGCCCCCCGAAGAGGGCCACCTCCCACCGCCCACCGAAGTGGGCAACCTCCCTGTGCGTTTCTTAGCTTCGCTACTAGTATTGAGCCCCCCCACCACGACAACGGAATGCACGTTGGGGGGGACCGGTAGACTATAACCTGGTCTAACACATAGGCTACTGTTATGCATGTAGGGACACACCCGACCGATACGGGGATAAGTTGCTAGTATAAAATATTAGTTACCAGCTTCCCTCTGTCGTTGTCGCCTATACTGGTCATCCCCGGCGAGACAGTACAGCAGCTGTCGCCAGCGCGGCACTCGCACCTCGGTCTGCGTCGTGCGCTCCATCGTCAGCCGGACGGACACTTGCTCCGGTTGGGACTGTGCGTCTGAGTGTTCTTGGTCCTCGGGCGCGGTTGAGAAACTCTATGTGAAAGGGAAATTAATGTTTTTTTAGGACTTCTGAACGTTTTTTAAGCGTGCCGATTAATCATTAGAAAAGCGCGTGATCTGCGCTGTTTAACTAGACTACAACAACTACTACTAACAAATTATGTACAAAATCTTACAAAGTTATGTTCAGATCTGGCAGAGCTGCGTCTACGGACGGCCAGCTGTCGAGCTGCAAACGCGTCCCCACCGACTTCTTCAATCAAGTCTTCCCATTCAGAATCGTCAATTACAATTTCACCCGATCCAACCTGATTAAAAATATAAATATTAGGTCTAATCGTAGTGGGTCTATAAATCTTTCACATAAACCAAATTATACAATATACATTATTTTAGTCTATTTGTCGTTCTACAGATATTCTTAATTTGATTTGTTCCTCCGTAAGAATTAAAGAAACCAACAAACACTTTCGGATTTATAACATTAATAGGTACCGCTTTTAAGACACCTTCTAAAGTTTAATAGACTTATATAAATAAAAAATATAAATAAATATACTGTGCTGGTGAGCACATCACTTCGCACTTTTTTAAATGTTTATAATAATCCGAATCAGATTTTTGATTGAAAAATGAAGAAAAATCCGAATGTGCTATTTAATAGTGTTTTGGTATGAAATGAAGAATTCAATTCAGTTCAATTCTATTGCTAATGGCTTTCAAGAAATCATAAACTATTAACTTGGACTGTCGGGTTAGCTATTTTATATACCTAGTTGTTTTGTTGTATAGAGCTTAATACCCAATATTTACATAATAAGTACCTAATTTTTTAAAATATTTCTATGTACTATATTTTGTTGTTGAATAAGTTAAAGTTTACCTTAGTGAAGTAATGAACTCCAGCAAATTCGAGTAAAGTAGCGATACAGTAGAAGAAACTCATCAACAGGAACCAATCCAGAGCGGTTGCGTATCGGACTTTAGGCAGATCTGTACGCGAGTCCAGGCTTATAGTGGATAGCGTTAAAACTGTTGTAATTCCAAGACCGACTCGGTCTGACGTTGCCTTAAAGTTGAATACAAAAAAAATTACGTGGATTTCAAAAGGATTTTGAAGTATGTAATTCTTCCATGATGGTTTTTTTAAATATGGGACCACCTCATATGTACATAAAAATATTTATTAATTGATTTTCAATTCAAAATTTGCACAGATATCGCCTCACATATCTCTTTATGGAAGTCGGTCAAAAATATATATATGAGTAGTCGTTTACTTCGTTCACACTTATGATATTAATTACCTTAAAAATCATCCATCCTTCATCTCTAATAGGTACTAACCTAAGGTTTTGCAATTTAATTTTGCCACTATTTAAAAATGGTTGTGCTACTATTTCAGATCTATTGAAAAATATAATTAAGAGTATGTACACTATCAATATTTCAATCACATTTAATAATTCGTAAAACATAGACGTAGGTATGTTAAGTTTTTACAAGATAATTAATTAATAAATTTATGTTGCTAAAATTAAAGAAATCAAACAATGGTACCTCTCGATGTATCCAAAAGGAAACCCAAGAGAGAACAACAATCAGAATGCAAGGCACGTACACTTGGATGAGGAAGTATCCTGTGTGTCGCTGAAGATTGAACGACACTTGGAGTACCGAGAAGTCCCCTAAATGGGGAAATACATATATATATAAAATCATATATGGTGTATAGAAATCTAGTAATATATTCGATCGACGCGCAAAAAGGATTTTAAACGCGTTTTTTATTTGGTTATAATGCTAAGAATACTTAAAAAGTTAAAAGAAATATTTTATATTCATTAAATATTAAAAAAGATAAAATGCAAAAGCTTTAAGGATAAATTTTTCTTTCAGTTTAAAAAATTAGTTATGAAAATTTATTTATATTTTTTTGTCATAGTCATTTCAAACAAGATACGAAACATACAATATATAAATGTACTTTGATCTGTAAAAGCCGAGTGTGTCGTCGTACACGTAGCAGCAATGTTGGTAGCGCTACACATGACGTTCCGAACACGCTTTTAAAAGGAAAAATCCTTAAATCATATTTGTACAAGAAAGTATGTGGAAAGTCTTTTCGGATGGCAATTTAGATAGAAAGCCTTGGTGCTTCGCAAATAGAAAATTTTACATCATGAGTATATTGATTAAATAATCTTCTTATTATAATACTAGCGGACCCGACAGACGTTGTCCTGTCTACACGTCTTTAATTTGAAAATTTCAAACTTTTTTTAATAATTTTTTTGATGAAAATTATTATTCAAATTGTGAATCTAAACCATTCCCAGATCCCCTTGAACACACACAAAAAATTTCATCAAAATCGGTCCAGTCGTTTGAGAGAAGTTCAGTGACATACACACTCACAGAAGAATTATATATATAAAGATATTTTAGAATTCTACAATCGAAGCATCTAAATTTATATTGCAAGTTAAAGTTTTACTAATACTGAATTTTAGAATGGTTTGTATATTTTCAATGATACATTTCAAATAATAAAATCGCGTTACGAAATCCTGTTAAGCGAGGCAAAAATGTGCATATGCCAGAATTTTAGTATCCAAACGGATTTATTTGGCTCTGATTTTGCATATCTCAATCGAAGTGTGGAATCATATTAAGCGTTAAGCGGATAAGGCCCGCTAGCCAGGGTCGCGATTAGTGGGCTGAAAGCTGTTATGAGAGGCTGCGATCGAGTGCTTCGTCTACCTCCGTTATTGATAGCGTTAGCACAATTTTTAATCTCCATATATTTTTATTGTTCTTCAGTATAATCTAATCAAATAAAATCAAATTATATAAAATCATAATATCATTTATTCAAATACACTTTTACAATTAGTATTTTTGAATCGATATTTTTACATTGAATTGGGTGTCAGTATTATTAGTATAGTATTATGTAACGCGTGATATTAGTAAGACTGTGAAGAAGCTAGCTCGGAAGGCAGTTCTGGTGACGGGAGCCGGCAAAAGATTCAACAGTTATAATATTATATTTCGTGTCCTATTAATCAAAAGATGAGGCGAGATCAAAGCAATTTTCTCCTCATTTTCTTGTATTTATTAAGATCAGACAATCGTCGTAGCATTAAGGCATTAATTATTTCGTATTTGTCTGGTGAGTTCTTTCATTTTGCTCTATCTCGATCTGTATTTGGATGTCAGTGATGTCCCTTCCTATATAATATTTATCAATCTTTAATTATTTACAGAATGTTTATTGTTTTTGTGTATGTGGATAATATTTGATAGTAAGTACATTTATATTTTACATGTATATTTTACCTTCTCTCCTGGTGAATGTGAAGTTTCTATAAGGAAAGCTTATAAGGTCGAATTGGGACAGAGTCATGCCAGGCACGAAATTGACGCTCTGCGAGTTCTGCCACTGATATACCAACTGCTGGTTGGAGTACGCGTCTGTATATAAACATTAATTAGAATTAATATAAACTAGGAATTAAATCTTTTTTTCTCTATACATTAAAATGTGATTATCAGAAGAATTGTGTTTAAATATTTTAATATAAGGCTATATTATTTCTAAATATTGTTAAATTATTAATATAAAGTAGTAATTAAATGAGAAAGATGACCTTAAAAATTATTATATAAAAAAAAGTTTTAAACAAACGAGGATAACGCTCTAGTAGTTTTAATAAAAAAAACTTTAAAACAGAATATTTTGAGTTAAAATATTCTGATAAATACAAAGAAATTTGAATATCGACATGTTTACCGATAAAAATTTACGAGTAGGTGTTCATGTATTTGGTTGTATGGTAAGCCGATTTGGCATGCTCTGATAACTTCTTACGGCCGTCAATTTTTTGTAAACGCGAGTGCGGAGCATTCTATGAAATCCAATACTTACAGCTGCCGAGGATGAGAGGGCACGATTGGCGGTCCATTGGGAAATTGCGAAGCTCCATAGGACATTTTGCTTTAATCGTTAATCTGCAATATGTTAATTATTTTGTACCTCACTAAAAATAGCCTACTAAAATTACATTTTATAACAATTTAATAATATATCGTCACAGAAGACCCTTTAGCAGAGAATAAAGTATAATTTGTAATAACCGTTATCAAATATAACATCCAAACGAGATTTTCGCTAGAAATTTCTAAATAAAGCAATTTTATGATTACATCGGTCGGCAACCGGAGCGCTCACATTTTTCACACTGCCAATTAAAATGAACGCTGTTTATAGCGACTAGGAATTAATTATACTTTCATATGAATCAGTGTTATTTATTTTTATTAACTGTACGAGTGTCAGTTTTTCGAAGATTTATACACTCGTAGAGTTACACATTCTTATATTACTACAAGTATTACTGATGCGCGAAATTTAAAATCAGATAGTTGACGAGATAAATAATAATAATTATTAATATAAGTATAAGTTTGAAATATTAGAAGTTTTCATAAAATTAATATAAATGATATTCTACATTTTTAGAACACTATAAATTTACCTCATGGAGTAAAGAATATCACCATGTTGACTTATTCTCAACAACTTATTAGGCACGGTAATTGTGTGGACGTAGGAATGTTTTCCGTTGTAAAAGTAGGTGTCCGGTCGCCATATTCTTTCTAGCATTTTTATAGACAGAGATAAAGAACGAATTGGGCCCAGGAAAGATAAACGTGTGTCTCTCCAATACTGTCTGAAGTAGCAATCCATTGAATAATCCTAGTATAGAAAAAATTGACTTATTACTTAATTTAAATATTTAAATGGTATTAAACACTGTATAAAAAGGATATAAGTTCGTAGATTATTAGAAGATGATTAGCAAAATATTCTTGTACCATATCTAGTTCAGAAACGGGACCCATGCTTCTTATAAGTATATTGGTTTGTACAACTGTTGGATAACCTGCAGTACAATAATATAACAATTAAGCAATTTGTACATTCATTCGAATAACTTTCATCTAGTGTAGGTAACTATCTATACCTTTTCCATGTGTTGGTAGTTGAGAATTTTCGTAATTTTTTAATAGATTTTCTAAGACTAGTGTAATGTTTTTCGATACGGCGTCATTAATGCTTCGCTTAGATTTCCATACGTTTGATTCACTTTCGCTGTACGTATCGTTAACGAAGTTAGAAAACAACGCGTCGGAGCTTTCATTCCAGTAGTCATCCGTATGGTCTCTTGACAGATTTTTAGCGGTTACAGATAAAAGATTTGAAGTGCCTCTCGTTGTAGAGATATCATGAGACTTGAAAGACTTCAGCAATATTGGAAATGTTCCATTTTTGGCTGTTAAGTAAATTGCTCCTTTTGTGTCCGCATTTTGAATCCTGGAACAAAAAATTGATACTCGACATACTGTTATAATAAATACATACTTATAGCTAATTTTTATTATATTTTTTCATTAAAAGTTTTGATAACGAGAGACAATGAAAATCAAAGAGATCATGTAAGATAAAATAAAATAGTCTTCTAAGTAACAGCTTGTACCTTTTCATTATGTTTTAGTTCACTTACTATTTATACGAGTACAATTTTGCACCACCTCTCTTCCTTTACGACGAATTAAACCATACTATCCTTATCCATTTTGGATTATGTAAAACAGGGTCACCTGATGGTATTTTGATGAAATTCCAGAAAACTACATTATTTATTTATATTTATTCATTGAATAATTTTGAATTCATTTTGCTTACGTATATACATACTACATACATATTACATACATAGGTATATTATAAGTAAGCAATACTTATTTTTAGATAATATCCATACTTAATATTATAAATGTGAAAGTGTGTTTGTTTGTTTGTCCTTTTTTTACGTCGAAACGCAGAGACGGATTGGCGTGATTTTTTGTGTGGATATAGTTGGAGGGCTGGAGAGTTACATAGACATTTTACCGCTGGAGACTATCTCATTTCCACGGGAAAACACGTTATAATACAACCCAAAAAATATTTGTGATCAGAATTACTTGAAACTTGGTATTAATGCTCTTCAATATAATTAAATAAATACGTGTTTAACATTACGAACATAACATTTTTCGAAATTCGGATAAAATAGGGGATGAAAGTTTGTATGAAACCTACCTTTTTCGACTTTATTTGTAGTTTTAACGCGAGCGAAGCCGCGGGTTCTGCTAGAACATAATATATAAAGCTTAACGGATATGTATTCTACAAAACACATGAACATATTTATAATAGATTAATATATTTGTCTATTTATAAATAAAAGAATACTCTACTACAAATTTTTGTACTACAAATTTATGCTTCTCATAGGTAGCGCAAGGAAAAGAAAGTTAACAATATCCTTATACTTGAAAACTCTCAACCTTTCGAGCTTTGGTATCATTAGTTTCTTGTTCTGCTTAAGAACTTGAAAGCAAGTTAATACTTGAATTTAGATTATGATTTAGTTATGTTGAATAGACAGTTGAGTTACTGAAGGATAGTTGTAATTGAAACAGGATGTGATTGCAACTTATTCGCTTTAACCGAATTGATTATTCGCAGCTATCGAAGAGAAGAACTACCAAGCGATTTAGGAATGTTTCAAACTAAGCAAGTTTGGATATCTACTTTGATTGAGTTATACATAGTATAAATGAACGTTGTGGAATAGAATATTGAACGTCGATTATAGAGATTAATTGGGAAAAAAAAAATTTATGTAATTTATCTTAGCAATCGCATATATGAAGTTTGGGTAATAAGAGGTTCTGTGTTTTTTTATTACTAAACTGATGGCAGTGGTAATAGAAACTGGTTTAGAGATAAATAATAAAAAATATACAAAAGATATATGATGATGTTCTCCTGACCGATTCCGGCCACGGCGGCCAATCTCATTGAGACTAGCCAACTGCGCAGGAGATATTATAGTGCACAAGTGTACGCGCAGACACAGGTGCACTCTCTATTCCTATCACTCTCATACTCCGGTGGGACGACTGCTCGACACGACCGGTAAGAGTTAAGGCGCAGGACCGACGGCTTTACGTGCTCTCCGAGGCACGGGGGTGAAACACCGCCAACTTCCCAACTCCGGGCTGATACTGAGACTTACTATACAGAAAGACTCAATAACTAAACTTGGCCCGACCCGGGACTCGAACCCAGGACCTCCGGCAGCCGTGCAGCCGTACATGCTAGCCACTACACCACCGAGGCAGTAAAAGATATATATATACATATATACATATGTATTACGTATGTCTTAAATGATCAAGACAATATGATACAAATTTTATTTCATACAAATATAGAAAATTAGATGAATGAATAGGAGCAAGACAATAGCGACATAATTCAAGTGCAAATAACGTGTTATAAGTAGATAGGATTTTAACTGTATATAAGATTAAAGCTACGCAAAACTTTTTAAAAATGAAAGTGAGAAACTTCGAAATAATCTGAAAGATGGGAAAAGTTTAAGATATCGAGAACTCAATCACAATGTTTTAAATCATTTAAGTGAAGAAAGTTCAACTTACCATTAAAAAGTAGACATCGAGGCGGAATATAAATGATGTAAAGACAAAAATCTATTATCTCAAACTTATAATATTTATAGATCTGCCTATTCTAAAATTTCAAATTAAAATGTTTGAAAAATTCCAAACAAATAAATGTTGGCTTTAGCTGTGTAATAATATTTTTTGAGTATTTTTAGGTTTCTAAATATTATCACAATGTACGTCTTCTATACTATAATAAAGCAGTAGGTAACTTAGCAAAATCTGTACATGAAGTATTTTTACGACTTCAACGTATTATGTACACAATATAGACCCCAAAACAATGGTTATTAAAAATTTTGTCTGTTTTTCTGTATGTATGTGCGTGCGCAAAAAGTAATAAGCCGATTCCAACAAAATTTGGTAAACTGATAACTTAGTACTCGGGTCAACATTTAGAATAGTTTTCACCTCGGAAAACATATCATATTTAAGGGGGTGAAAAGGGGGGTGGAAGATTGAACGGAAAATCAATCATTTCTCGAGTAATTTTTATTTTTTATAATACTTACCTACTTTTCTATACCCATGTATGTACATTGTACATATATAATCCAACATATAGTCCATTCTATACTTACCGTTAAAATGTCCTTCCTGGACGAACCCGAGCGAAGCGAGGGTGAGCCGCTAGTTATAAATAAAATTACTTTTTAAAGATCGTGCAACTTTAAGAAAAAAATGCCCGTGATATATGGTTCCGAAATGGTTAAAATATATAAAAAAGTAACATTTAAGAAGAAAACTTTTTGAATTTTCAATTAGAATATGTACCTACCTATATATTTTTTTTAATTTCATTAATATGTATTTAGTTATTGGTATGATGAAAATAACTAAAAATGTCTATATTTTTAATGTTAATTATACCATAATTTAATGTTTTTTTTGCACATAGGAATATCAAAAAAAAAAAAGCAAGTGTTACATAGTTGATTTCTACAACAATGTGAAATATTAACGTGCAACATATTTATTCTCTGTCTTTATATTTCAACTTGTTTCGACAACATATAAGTAGCCTACCTACAATGTAATAAATAATATTTAATTTTCTGTTATAAATAGTAACTTCTAATTATTTTACTTAGGTATTCATTCATTAAAATTTCCTTTGTTTTTGTGAACAAATTAAGTTCGTTGGAATGTTTTTGTTAAATCCATGGCGTACAATCTTTGTGGTACTTAAAATAATATGAAAAAAGTTCATTCATAAACAAAAACGTAAGATTCTCTATAAAGAAAAACTTAGTTACTATAATTTAGGTTATATAGACAGGCCGTCTTATAGTCGTGGAACGCAGGGTAGCTAGATTTACGTTGAAGCATAAGACCTAAAGTCCTTTTTATTTCTAATGGTTTCTTTAATAATTTGTGTCTGTACATCGCTAAAAAAAGGCAAAACAACACCAACTCATCAAAGTTAGTCACTACTGCAGCAATATTTACACATATATATATATATAAGACGGAGGAGGATTTAGTTACCTTTTTCTGTTATGAAACCTTGTTATTGTTTAAAGTCACTATGTTCTTTAATTTACTTTTAAAGTTATTTTAAATTTAGAGCAGAGATTTAGTCTCGAGCGGGGTCGAGACGCCATCACGACATTCTTTGGAGATACGTGGCTTAGTAACGTTGGTTATCATATCATGGTGAATCAGTTATGTTTGATATTGTAGTTGGAAGTCGATGATCGGTGACTGTGAACCCGCTAGCTCTAAATCATTACAATTACCGTTTCAAGTTTATAACATTGTGACTTCCCTGATTAAATTGTGTATTGAGCACTGAATACTTTATTATTTGAGCCCTGATAACGCCCACAAGATGAGTAACCACCAAAGATGATGTTCGTAGTATATGGATAACACGACATATATATATATATATATATATATATATATATATATATATGTAAATGAATGCGATGTTAAAATCTTCATGTCTGAATATAAAATAAGATAACTCGGGCACTAAATATTAATCAAGATATATAAAACAAATTTTGTATATAGGGCCGTCTTGTCATCTACTATACGACATAAAAGTTAGTAAATGAAAGTTATGTTGACATTGATAGAGACTTGCCTTTCTGTTTCACCAGGAAACTAGCAAAACTTCCATTAGGGCCATTGTGCTCCAAAAGTATCAAGAATTAATAGTACCTACTTATTTTAGTCGCAGTCAAAGTTTAAAACAAAATTCTCCCCGTTATTTTATGGTGTATAGCGTTAGTTGATATTATAATAGAGTATGTAAGATCCATTTAAGATACAGCTTTGGTAGAGCTAAACTAGTTCGAAGCTCAGTTGCAACCTAATCCATTCGTGACATGACTATACAAAGTACAAAACGCGTTTAGTTTGTGAGCTTAATATTTTTGAGATACATTTTTAGTTATTAGGTAAATAGCTTAATAACTTGCAAAGATTAAAGAATATAGTCAAATATTTATTAATATTAAAAAGCAATATTTCGCCAAAAGCACACGATTTGAGATGTTATTTTCTTTAATGTTTCTAAGAAGTATTATAGAAAATATTCTATACATTATTTTCCCTTTGTAGCTTTGATTGCGCGCTCTCATTGGTGACGGAGGGCCCTCATTGATACAAGCCCTCTTTGTAAATATTAAAGTGTGACAAATTTTTAAATCTGACCCAATGCTTGACAAAAATAATGTCAAAAATAATAAGTGTACTATGTTAGAAAAATACAATTCCTTGTAATATCGTATAAATTATGTACCTATACACATTTTCTTTGTATTTACATAGAGTAAATGTATATAT